GGTTCAGATCCCACATGTGAGGGCCAGTGACACTGCCCTCCACCAAAAAAACACAGTGCCTCTGGTCTAGCTCCTGACTCCCTTTTGGGCCACACCACTCTTCACTCTCCGGTTCTTTCTGGGTTGTACAAGCTTTCTTTTAATTCCTTGAGTATATCCTATAATCACCAACTACAGCAGATCCTCAAATAATGTTTCCTTACAACGTTGAGGAGGTGCCAGAGGAACTTAGCTCTTGCTTATATTATATAATTAGTCTATGGTAAAACTGGGTTCCATATACATCATTTTGCTTAAAGTCGCAGAACCTATTGACCACATTAAGTGAAGAATTACAGCACATTGTTTTCACATGAACTGCCCTCTACTTGAAATAGACTTTTCCTCACTTTCACTCCCACCTTTCACCTAGTTAATTCGTATTGATCCTTTAGGTTTCAGCTTAGATATCACGTCTTCCGTCGTTTGATCTCAACACCACCGGGTACTTTTATATGGGGACACAATTGATTAACGTCAGTCTGTCCTACCAGAATATAACCTCCATGAGGCAAAGGGATCATGTTAAGTTTTTTTGCTGGAATAAAAAATATAAGAAAGAAAAGAAATAGACATAATGCAGTTTGTCTAAGTTACTACCTGACTTCATTTTGCATGCACTGAATTGTTTCTTTAAACTGTCTAAATTCTACATGTTTCTTTTAATAAAACATATACTAATAACAAACAACCTCTCTTGGAAGGTTCAGAAAAATGACTCAAGTAAAAACCATTAAATGACTTTCCATAGCATCCTGAGAAGTTTTTGTATGAGCCTGGCCAGTAAGCAATTGTTAATAGACTTCTGTGCTCTGTATCACTGCCTTTTAATTTAAATTTCCTTTTTAGGAGGTGTTTTTAATATCACTAGATGTGCAGAAATCTGTTTTGAATTTATATAACATAAATTCAGTCTTAAAAGTCAGTGATTTATGGAGAATATAACTTGATGATGGTTTACAACATTTTTCCCTCCTGACAGGAGACCTATGCTGGGAAAAATAAAACATCCCATTTCTCATTAATGGAAACAGAGCTGAACAGACAACTGTAGCCGCTGAAAGTTACTGAAACTGCCAGGAAATTTTAAAAGCAAAAACAAGGTTGGGCTGGCAGATTAATGTGTCTTTCATGTACAATCCTGAAATATAAAACCATGGAATTTCTAATGTTAATGGACATTTTTGTCAATATTTATGCAAGCACATTTATGTTGTATATTATAGAAGAGATTAAATAGGAGAAAACTCACGTTAAAAGTTAGATTCCAATGAAGATGTATTCATATGCTGCCTCTTCAGTTTCCAACTTTTGAAGGTGCACTCGAGGCTTATTTTTGTATTTACTAAAGATAATGAGCCCACATGTTTACTCTGTTATGGAAGAGTGAACCTGAATAAAATTTGCTGAACTAACTAACGTGGATTTATGCCAGAGGGAGTCTCAGCTTGGATTGAGGCCATCCCCAAAGCCCCTCCCTTCTCGATCCAGAAATCCATTTAATCCTTTAACACACAATTGTTGAGCACCAACTACGCGACAATTTGTGTGTGTGTCTGGGCACTTGTGAGCTAATGGGAAACCCAGGAGGAAAAGCAAAGCAGATCCATACAATACAAAGCAGTAAACACTCTCCTGCAGGTAAACACAGACTTTTCTCAGAACACACCTGTAGGAAGCACCTACCTAGGCATCTCATCGGGTGAGTAGCGCAAACCTATATCCACCGCACTTTGCACCCAAGTACAGATTTGTTCAGCTTCATTTAGCTACTCCTTCCCCATACACCCACAGGGGCACGGCCGGTAACGTCAGGGAAGCCCGTAGCACCGCCCTACTCCAAACTTTGCCACCTCTTTCCTTGTGAAGTGTGGACCCCATCGTGCTTCTGAACATTCAGGGGTTTATCAAAACAGGGTATATCCAATGTCTTAAAGAATGTCATTTAATTAAAAAATAATAATAATTTATATCCACGTAAGCTTCAAGTTACATTCATCATCGAGCGCACTGGGGGATGCATTATGGAATCAGACACGTGACAGGAAGCCCCCTGAAGAAAGCCTTGTATTTCTGTACAAAGCAGGCCATTGGCAAAAGTTGGTTAAACTGTTGAACTAACTTCCATATATCATGAAAAAAAAAAAGAGCATTTCTGAACTAGAGTATTGGTTATGTATTTTGAAAGCCAAGGAGCCAAGGAATCAGGGTGAATTGCTCTGTCCCTGCATAGTCTAAAAATTCTACACGCCAAGAATGGTACACCACAAGGGCAGAGGTTCCCCTCGGAGGAGCACCAACACTCAGCAAAACTTTAAAGGGTAGAAAGCTGTCTGTGCATTCCTTCAAGCTTCCCATTGGGCACCTCCTGCCCACATTCACTCAGGCAACAGCACTTGTTCACTGAGCACCTCGTATCTGTCAGGCACTGTCTTAGGAGCTTGGGACACATCACTGAAAACAAAGAAACTGACATTCCACCTCCTCTCTTCTTGCAAGGCCTTTTTCAGGAGTACCCACCCTATGCCTGCAATTATGCTCAGCCCCCGGAATAGTGATACAGAAACGTAGTGTGGCCTCTGTCCAACAGGGAGGCGGTTGGCAAATACGATGACATTAGAAAGCAGAAATTGTTCGGGTGCCGTTTATCTTACCTTGTAACGAATTGAAGATGGAGAAGAGGTACGTGAAAGGGACATATATGGGTCCCCAGGCAAGGAAAGCGAACCCCCACGTCATGCCCAGCAGAAACGTCAGGCTGACCACGCTGCGCAGGTTCCGCAGCACCTCTTCGCGCAGTGTCCGGTTGGTCCTCTTGCCGTTCCTCCCACAGATCTGCACCATTACCACGACGAACATGGCGACGTTCAGGAAAAACATGACTCCAAAATACCCAGCACAGGTCACGAAAAAGACGACGTCATCCAGAATCCAACAGCTTAAAGAAGAACGAGAAAGAAAAAGAAATCTGTCACCATGTCCTTTTTACCTACTATGTCTCCTGGCTTAGTTCGGGCTTCTGTAGGTTTCATAATTGCCAGGCCGTTCTCAAATGCCTTTAGAGGGTCACTTCATTTTCTTGGGCCTCATTTTCTTTCTTTCTTTCTTTTTTTTTTTTGATGATTTCATAGCTTTTGCTTATGTCGATAACTATCATCTTAATGTCTCATTATTTAAGTGACCAGTGAAGAAGAAAACAAGTGGCTACCTGAATTCTGACTGGGCATGAAGACTCTCTTGGTTGGTTGACCCAAAATCATGTCAAACCTCCTTTTCTCTTATGTGTCTGCACTTCAGAGAATGGGGGAATTTAAGTACTCATATTCTCAATCTCTCTGATATTTATGGGTGGTCATGTGGACACTATTCTACAAAATGATCCAGACACAAAGCTGGCTAGGGAATTTTTTGGAGCGCTCTTCTTGCTAGACTCAACTGGCAAGGCTCTTGGTCTTTGTTCTTTCTACTTCAGACATGAAAGCAGGCTCTGGAGTTGCAGCAATCGTCTTATAGCCATGAGAGGAAGGCCAAGAGAGCTACAGGGATGCTGGTCTTGATGGTTTCTGCCATAAGTCCATGCCAGTTGTTGCCTATTTTCATGTTCCTTGTCATGTGAGAAGAATAAACTCTTACTTACTTAAGACACACATAATTGTGGTTTCCATTACTGCAGACAAAATAACTCCTATTAATATAATTGGCCTAGTCGAGGCAAGACCTTATGGTAAAACTGTGATATTCTTATAGTATCGCTTCTCATGCACAATTAAAAGGCTTATATTGATTATGACATCCTTATGAGATAAGGAAGGATATATTTTATATTCAAAATGATACAGAGTAGATGAAAGTAATTTAAAAACTGATGATGCGTAAAGTGTTCTATGAGTAAAGTTAACAAATACTACAATTTGCAGATGCCCCAGAGCCTAATCATACTATGGCAGTTCTTAGGTACCTCAAAAAATTGGATGAATTATTTAAGGCAATTAAGTTCATCTTAAAATTCTACTGTAAATGGTCATCATTCAGGGTTATATCTTACACACTGAAATATGACTGCCACAAAAGCAAAATCTATCTTGAATATCTTTGAAGCCCAGAACCTAACATGATTCCTGGCACATAGTAAATGTTCAATAAATGGCAGTTGTTGATGGCATAGCAATTTATTAAATGTACTTTAAAGTTCTATAAGAGTTGACTAACATAATTTTAAAATTCCTTTACTTAGTACTTAAGCACATACTCTTACTTTTAATATATCTTTTTATAAAGATTCCCCCAACTGATACAGCATGTCCCCGAAGCTACTATTTCTTTACATATTGATGTCCCCTTAGAACCTTGAAATTCCTGACCTGGATCCTTTATTTTCCACTGGTTCTTGTGGAGTCTTTTGAATGTTACTTTGGAAATATAAAAGAGGGGAGGTCATGAGAGAATGGGACAGGGTTGGATGCTGACTGGATACAAAACTGTTATCCATTCATGAAATGTGAACAGAAATGTGGCAATAAACAATCATGAGCAAGCTCTTTAGTCATTCAGTAATTCATTCAATCAATAAATATTCACTGAGTACCTATTATGTGCAAGATAAAATATGAGGAAACTACCTGCCAAAAGTGAACAACATAAAAATTTTAGACTCAGTGATCTCACAGTCTGAAGGGAATTTTCCAAGTTATTCAGGACCCCATTGATGCCTCTGTTCTCTGCATTCCCACTTAACACTCATATTGGCATTAAATCATTCGCTGTCTGATACTGCTATTTAACTCTCTTGAAGATGTGTGTGGGTTTAAGAAGGTGGAAGTATTATGGAATCTCCTCAAATAGAATGGCTCTTCTGAGCTAGAAGATAGTATCTTAGACTTCTGCATTCCCCCCAGATGACAGAACACAGTGTTAATATAGAAAAGCAGCTTGAATAGTTCAGGACATTCGGGTGATTTAATCTGCAGTGTGGCAGAGACCTTGGCAAAGGCATGCAAATGCACTTCAATATTCTAAAATGCGAGGCACACCATTGGCATGGCAACTCACACTAAACTTTAGGAAACAAAGGACATACACTCATCGCAAATAAATTCCCCACAAGCTTTTTATTACTTACAATTCATCACCTTCTTCTTTTCCATACTTTGTTTTCCCATAGACCTTATTTTGGTTTCTGCTCGCTAGAACAACTGACACGACCAAGGCAGGCAACCCTGTTATAAAAAGACCATGACAAAAACAACTTTTCTGAATCATCTGGAACTGCTTTATAAGACTGATAATAGCAAAGAAAAAGAAAAAGAAAGAAAAAGGAAACACTTCATATCACAGACTCAAATTTCTTGGAATTTGATTTCTCAGAAATCAAATTTTTTACAACTTGGTTAAAAACAACCAGAAAGTCCCGTCTTCGGTGTGGAACATCCAACTCTAATTGGCAACAATCAAGACCTACTCTTATTGGCAGATATTTAAATATTCTGTTTGCTTACTGGTACCCACTAGAGAACCAGAACCTGTTTTATGTTGAATCCAGCACCAGCCAATGTGGTTTCATTCATGACTGATGCCTCTTAGGCTGCTAGAGTTCAAGCAGTAAGGGAATTGCAGTTTATTTTGCTCTTTTCTATTAAAGTCTTCAGAAAAAGCGGGGGAGGAACAATGGGGCCATAAAGTGTTTATTGTCTTCCTTTCCCTCTCAAGAGACACTATATAAAGTAATTCCAGGTATATTTCAATGGGGAAGGCTACATTCCCTAATTCCCTGAAAGATGCCTCCTAAAATGGTGAACACCTTGCAAATGCCTCATACTTCTATATTTCCATCTGAAAAACAGACTTGCGAGAAAACTCTATAAAGTGCCTGGTTCGATACAAAAACCAGATAAAGAAAGAAACCCATTTACTCCAAATAGGCTACTACAACCATCTGTGTCTGGCTGCAGAATCATATTAAGAAGTTCAAGGTAAGAATTCTGTCAGTATTCCGGTTGCACACACAAAAATAACACTCTCTCTCTCTGGTTTCCAAGACATGGGCATGTGTCCGGGGGTGAGGATGGCTAGGAGTCTGAGCTGGCCTTTATGTTGTGAGACATAATGGAAACGCACCGCTGTCTGCCAGCTGCTTCTTCAGACTTGGGTGGGCTGGCTCTGGGCTCAGGAAATAAGTCTGTGGTGACTCAGGAGCCAGGGCTTTTTCCTTTACTCCTGACTTTACTGAGGACTGTTGAACAGGGCTTAAAAGTACTGTTCTGAGGAAGCCCCTTCCTTACGATGTGACTCTCAGATCCACATCACTTACAAATGTGGAATTTCTTTTAGCAGCGCGATTCTTTCAAAATAGCATTGGCCTATGAGAACCTGGAAATTTCCACGTCAGTGAAAACAACAACGAAAACATGGAGGAGGCTTACCCCAGCCAAGGACGCAGAACTTCAGTATGTACCGGCGAATGTACGTGTTAAATACTTTCACCAGAGCAATGTACATGTGAATGGCTTCTAGCCCCATCCAGGTAAAGGTTGCCAAAAGGAAGAAATGCTGCAAGGCTGCAATGGCAGTGCAGAGTGCATCCACATGAAATGTGGTGACCCAGCCATCCAAGAGGAAGACGAGATTCAGGAACAGCAGGGCTGTACTCAGGTTCATCAAGATTTTGGAGGGATAATCCCTTCGCAATTTTCTGAAGAAGGGAAAAAGCAGGGTATAGGAGAACTAATATTGCAAATCATTCTTTTAAGCACAGGCAGTAATTTCATATCCTACACAGCGCTGCAATAGGTTAGGGAGCACCACCTTTATGCCATGGTTCCTAAAAGGAGGACCGAAGATACTTATATTTGGCAAATTATAAAGATTTTAAAAAACTATTAATTTTATTTTAAAACAGTCTCTAGCTGTTTATAAAATTTCCAATTGGTTTCAACAGTTGATTTAAAAAAAAATCCAGGAACATTCTAGAGTTATAAAAATGATATTTTTGTTAGAAAACAATCTCCCTAAAATTTTCTGAAGTTTTTTATTTTTAATACATTAAAGATCCTTTTTTTTTTTTAGAAAAAATTCTGCTTCAGGACTAATTTTATAAGATTTGTGAAGTGACTATTTTCGTCTTTTACCATGTAAAAAGCACTTAATACAATTTTTATTTACTTATATGTTAATCATCTCTAACAGGTTTAAATGCATTTTATCAACAGAAATATAATGATAATAAATTAAGATTCTACAGCTGGAAAATTCATGTTACATGATATATATCTTATGAGAAACTTAAACATTAAACCTGAACCACCCTACATGATTCATAAAGTACATAAGTGTTTTTAAAAGCTGAGGCAATCTTATTTACATTTTAGAACAGTTAGCACTGGGTTTATCAGATAGAAAATACTTACTCAAAAGCAATATATGTCAGGAGAGTTGCTGCTGAAAAAATAGCCGACAGTCCACACCCAACGTAGGAGATGAAGGTGAGAATTTTAGTGTTTTGCGCACTCATCTGTGAACCAGCTCCCGAAAGGTCCTACACAGAACATGGGACGCAGCTGTAAGACTCTCCCTTTTCAGGACAATGCTGTTGGGTATTATTAGCAAGTCCACTGCTAGTACTTAGAATCTCAGCTCAAACTTAGGTGCTAAAAACAACAGTGTAAATAAGCACTGAAACTTCCATTTTTTACACTCCTGTGGATCCCTCTACGAAACAACTATGTAGCAATATTGAGAGAGTTACATACTGTTTTGTATCCATTACCTTGTGACCCAAGCTGTTTGCACAGCAGTATAATTTGAAGAGCCAAGCCACTGATTTCCCCAACCGAAATTGGAGGGCGGTTGTTGCCTTGCATAAAAAATTATCAGGCCCATGCCTAATATTTGCAGGGCTGGGGGCACACGTACAAATGGAGGTTGTGGTAGCCCTCATGGCCAAACCCTTGGGTGGGCCCTGGGTTCTTTGCCTGGTAGGCCAGGGCTCAGCCAGCAGACGGCCAGAGGCTGGGTGCTGGCTCTGGGGTTGTTTGGCTCTGAGCATGGTGCTGAGGTTCCAAACTGTGGTCATTCCAAAGCTTGGTATGTATGGGATGGGGTAGACTTTATCTTTTTCAATAAAGGAGAACACACTAAGAGTTTTGGGGTCATAGTTGTTTGATCCCTATAGACCTGAAAGGGCACCATTCAAAGTATTAGAGGTTGTCATAGAATCAAAAGAAGTAAACGTTTTCTAGCATATTAATAAGTATTAACTTCACTGTGTTGAGGTGGGCTTGCAAAGTCTAGGCCTGGTAGAAAAAAATTTCTTCCTTAACTGAGGAATTGGGATGGGGATAAATCATGAGTTAAGACCAACCACTGAATCCTGGTTGAAGGATAAAGGCACTTTCATTATGCATCTTCTAAAATGGAGCTTTCTTGGAAAAGGGACACGTTCCAAAAATAATATCTAGTTTAAACTTTTAGGTCTTAAATTATTTTTTGAAATGTCTTTTTTGTAAGTTTTTCATTCTAGTTTCACCAAAATGTCAATAAAATCTGCTACTCACACAAAGTAAGTGGTGTTTGTATGTGTGTGAAATGAAATGGGACTTAGCTCCAGGTTTGTCTGATGCAGTAAGGAGCAGGGAGAGTACCTGTGTGACACCAAGAAAGACAAAACGTGATAAAATTCAGCAGATGCACAGGGTCAGGGTCAGAAAGGACCTTCCCTATCCTCTCCCTGGAACCCCTCAAAACACTGGGAGGACATGGGATTCCCACAGCACATGGGATAGGGTTCAAGTCAGTGCCACTCGACTCACAGATAAATCACCTCAACCGACATTTTGGTTACTTTAAGATTTCATTAGGCCAGAAAAATGGTCTTGAGGAAATCTCCAAGTGACTCATCATTACTGCTTGAAACACTTATGGCTCCTATCTCATCAGGCGGCTGACTGGAAAACCACAATTTAAACTTGAAAGCCACAACTTAAAATGGGAATTAAATAATATAATGCTCTTCAGTAATACGCATTGACACACAATTCTCGTGTTGTTTTGTACTTTTAGAGAATGAAGACTACAAAAATATTTGTTTCTTTGAATTAGCCAACATGAAAATGTACTAATGTTAGAAGTATAAAAATCAGTTTTACTACGAAGCAATGTAGCAGAAACGTTAAACTTTTCATACATTTGTATATTAGAAGATCTGATTATGGGTCTGAGGTACCTATGGTGAATGAGTCATGGGACAATGTGGACTCTGGGAATATCTTATACAAGTGAATAAAGAGTTGGTAAATCAAGAAAGACTCTTAACAAAGTCTTGGTGGCCTGGAAAAGCTGAAAGGATATAGGCACATTGCCAGAAAGGACACATTCTGGAACGTCTTTCATCCAGTAGTTTATAATCCCACAAAAGCAGCCAACGTGGAAAACAGAAGGATAGTACTAAAAATATGCAACTATCAGTATACATGTAAAGCTAATTATTTAATCAGAGGGCAACAAAAGAAGTAATATATAATTATAAACTCATAATGAAATTTAAACAATATATAAAGAAACTGACCATTCAAAGAAGTGGGAAGTCAAACTTTGGTTATAAAGTTTGATTTATAAAGATGGTTATAAAGACGATTTATAATCATCTCTGAATAGTGAATTGTGTTGTTATCTATTTATCTAATATTAGTCTTACAACACGCACAGTCATGCTCAAACACACACACACAAACACACGTACACAAATACAGCTGAAATAGTTAAATCAATTAAGCTAAAGCTTATATATCTGAGTGAGTTATCACAGGAATTAAGTGTTTTCTGAAAAAGAGGGAGCATGGAAGAAAACTGAGGAATTTTTCTTTTAATCGCTTAGAGAAAACATGCTACAGTTTAATTGTTAATTTTCATGCTCTAATGGTAAAGAAAAAATATTTATACTTTGAGAAAGTTAAAAAGTTATTTTCTATGATTGTCACCTTTTTAAATGACTTGTTCTTATCCCTCAGAGCATTTATGTACTGGATTGTCAGGAAAATTACAACTTGCAGGGTTGTCATAGGACAATGGCCATTTACATAGATTCATGAGCCAAATACTACATCCTACAGTTCTCACTGCTTCCTCAGAGTCCCACAGGAAGTGGGTGTAAGATTTAAGGGAGGGGATAAACATAACCTGATGTTTGTAATTGGAATTCGGAGAGTTTTATTGCCTCAGCACACATTCCTCCCATCTCCAACTAAAAACCAAATATGGCTTGATCCTTTTATGGAAACTATACAGAAACAGTAGCTCTGCTATGATCAAGTATATTAGATATAAGGTAAAAGTATGAGTCCGTGGGTGAATTCAAACACGTCATTGAGGGTAGGGCAGCTCTTGAAAATTTGGTGGGACGAAAAAAACATGTTGATGCCATCTATTTTTTGTTTAAAGCCTTGGGATAGGCTGGCTAATGGGATAAAACAAGGCCATGGGAAAGAAGGAAGAAAAGAAGGAAAGAATGACACATGAGGCCCATCATTTCTCTTGCAGGGCTGAAGACTCCATGTTATCTTTGTAACTAGTCTGTCCTATGAGGCTGTGATCTCCAAGAAGAGAATGGCAGTCATTTTAAGTCACAGCTGGCTCCCCCAGCACAGTACCTGGTACAAAGTAACATTCAAACATATTGAGTGATAAAATTTATAAGAAAGAACATTTTGATCAAACTCTTTACAGTTCCCTTTCATGTTAGGAAACCCCAACATTTTCTTCCTCTTTAACCTTGCTCTCCCTCACCCCCGACTCCCTCTCTGTCTCTCTGACTCACTATTTCACTCTTAATTCAATGGTCTCGTGGTGATTTTCTTGTTTCTAGGATTATTTATCATTGCTGTTAATGCTATAGAAAAAATTAGGGTTATTTCCTATAATTACTTTTGCACATTTTTAATATACGATCTGATTATATTCTTCATTAAAAATCAAGATTCAGGGTACATATAAAAATTATCTGGAAATAATTCCCTAACACATAAGCTTAAAAAGGCACACACACACACACACACACACACACACACACACACACACAAAGTATGCCTTTCAAAATGAGTTTAGAAATCCTCCCCTACCATCAGAATTCCAAAGTGTGTGAGGTGGTCACACAGGCAGACCGTCTCGCTCGCATCTGAACCTGTGTGTGCGGTACATCCTGATGTATTCCAAAATCCAGAACTTCCTGCAGGAGGAAGTCAACAAACAGTATGAAAATAACAGCAGGTCAGTTCCTTCTCTCTCATGGATGATACCTCCTTTAAAGAAATATGCCTCAATCTCTTCTGCCTCACAGTTTATCTGTAAAATGGATACTATTTTTTAAGCTGCCAATAGTTAGAATACTTTAGATTCCTGGAATCACAGAATGTTGGTGCTGGGTGGGTAGACAGAGATTATCTAGTGAGTGGCTTTCAACTGTGCTCCCCTGAAGGGCCTCAGGGGTTCTGCAACAGTTTGATTCAAGTTTAATGTTTAATATACTATAAAACAAACTTCTATGAAAAGAACATCCTTTTTCAAATATGTTACATACTAAGGAAGTCTCTGGAGAGCAACACATGTTTTTTTCTTGGGTCAGTCTGTTTTTGTGAAGACATGAGAACAAAGAAGGTCTTATGTACACAGCAGTCATGCATGGTAACAGCTTATGTTAAATGCCTTTAATACATCTGTTCTGACTTTTATGGTGTGGTGTGGAATATGAGCAACTAACCAATTTGAAGACTATTTTATGACAGCAAGGTGATATTATTTTAAACTATGTATCTAGTAAGTCAGGATTTTTCTCAAAACTGAGTAACTGAAAACCAAACAAAACCTTTCTGGCTATAATAAAGGTATTAAAAAAAGAGGTTTGGAAATCTTTAGACTACATTTTCTACCAAGAAGCATCCTACACTGACATTGGTTTGATTTGGCCATGATGATCCTATTGGGGAACCCCGAGGGAAGGAGACCCTTAGATCTCCGCATCTTATACCTAGTGAATCACCTCTTAATTTTGCCTTTCTCTCTTGATTGTCAAATGTCATTTTGAAGGCATATATATTCTTTCACGTAATATATACCCATTGTAACCATTCCTATAGTAACATTCCTTTAGTGTGCTTCCTCCCATAATCTGAGGTCTGCAAGCTGGATTTTTCATTATGTCAAATAACATCCTCAGAAGTGTCGTAGAAGAATGTGATCAAGTGTACATTGACATTAGTCTAAAATGGCATACTCTAATAATAAAAATGCATACTCTGTTTTATAAATAACTGAAATCACAGAGGTTGTTTGATTAAAAAAAAAAAAGTCAAGCCTGCCTATTTCCTCTTGCAATGAATAAAAAGTTATAGAAACTAGAATGTATTCCCCCAACTAAAATTTTCACTTCAGTTGCCATCAATCACTTTTACACTGTGACTCATTCTGGTCTGGGGTGAAATGAAAAGAAATGGGGGTGTCTACTAATGTTTAAAAATCAGTTGTTATTAAGACAGTCCGTATTTTAAAACTTACCGTTTTTGTTCAGATCCCAGAAGGCACAGACGGGACGGTGGTGCCCTGTCTATATTAACATAAGAATAAACATGTGAAATTGTGTTTAGAATAATTGGAGAATCACATGATTTGAATGTGGGAAAATTGTGAAATGCTAAGGTTTTCACAAAGAAATAGAGCAGCCTTAGTCATGCCAATACTACCTAAGAATGGCAGACCGTCTAGGGGAGTCTCGGCTCACAAAAATTTGAAGTGGAAATCAACTATAACCTCATGAGGAATTGTGTTACCCATATACCTAAGGGTTACTATATATGTACCATCATAAAATGCTATGCTTATCATTTGGCAAAACTTTTTACACTGTAATTTTATTTCATCTTTAAAATTCTCCTTTATGTCTAGGTATATGCCCAAAAGAATTGAAAGAAGGGACTCAAATAGATATCTGCACCCCCATATTCACAGCAGCATTATTCACAACAGTCAAAATGTGGAAGCAATCTAAGTGTCCATTGATGGATGAGTGGATAAACAAAACCTAGGATGGAACAATATATATTGGGTGGTCAGAAAAGTCATGACGTATTTTTTTCTGTTTTTCATTGCAAAAATGTGTCATGACTTTTCCAACAACCCAATATATAAAATGGAAATATTACCCAGCCTTATAAAGGGAGGAAATTCTGATACATGCTATAATATGGACGAACCTTGAAAATATTATGTTAAGTGAAACAGGCCAGCCATAAAAAAGACAAATACTGTATGATTCCACTTAAATGAGGTACCTAGAGTAGTTAAATTCAAAGACTAGAGTGGCGGTTGCCAGGCGCTGGGGGTGAGGGTGGTGGGGAGTTGTTTAATGGGTGTAGTTTCAGTTGGAGACTATGAAACAGTTCTAGAGGTGGATGTGGTGACGGCTGCAGAAGAATGTGAATGGACTCAATGTGACTGGACCGTGCCCTTAAAAATAGTTAACACAGTAAATTGGGTTATGTACATTTTACCACAATAAAAAAACAAATTCTTTATGGATGAAGGAGCCAAAACAAAGGAGGCCAAAGGGTAGAACATGGAGGGCCGAGGGATTCGTGACAAAGCAGAGCGAGTTCTTAGATGACTTAACTTCCAAGCCTTAGTCCTTATCAGCCCGCTCACTTCCCGCCCGCCTTCCTGCCTTGCCTAATAAATGGTAGAATCGTGACTGGGACCCTCTATAAAAGACAGAAAAACCTTTGCCTGAGCTACCCGGGACAATACGAGTCCTCATACAATTTTGATCAAATAAACAGATGACAGCAAGGGTAACGAAGTAATTAAAAAAGCAACCTTTGCCAAGATTTTAGACAACCGCTAACCTCCCCCCAAATAAGTCAACCCTGTTCCCCTCTGCTTTCCCAGTAGCAGTAACTTTTGACATTAAAAAAAACCAAAAACAAAAACAAAGAAAAAACCCACAACAACCAAAACCTTTAGTGGTAGGATTGCACAACTGCATGGAATTTATCTCAAGTGAAAAATGTCATTTCTTAGAAGTAGTGGCCCTTTTCCTCACTCCCATTCTCCTCCCGATTATTGAATGCTAGCTAAGACTAACCTCCCCCAGGTGCCACCATTTACCCTGACCTTAGCACAGTACCTGATGAGCTACTCTCCCCTTTTTAGAAAATTGTCCCCCTCAAAAAAAGTGCCAGTTACCTCCTTCCATGTCATGTAGAAAAAATGGCCCCCATTTCCCTGAAATCGTCTGCCTCTGCTCTCTGGCTATTTGTAGATTTTCTTACCTGGTTTCTTGTATGTTTGATTGTAATTCTGACCGGATCCTTCAGATTCTGGACAGTGATGTTTCCAATGCTGCATGCCATCACGTAACTCACTAAGGTGCTGCTCTTGGCTTTGACATCCTGTTACAGAGAAAGAAAACTGTGTATTCATCAGAAGGACACACTTTTACTTTATTTTGCTGATCCAAAACAAGCAAACTGTCAGTGCTTTTTACACTTAAGATCTTTATTAAGATCTTCAATTATAGAGCATCCTGTTTATAAGCTCAAATTGCTGGCTTTCCTGAAAAAGCTTTGCTGTTTTCCTCATTATAATAAAGACATTGAGAGAACATGAGGAGCCAGTGGAGCGAGGTGACCAATGTTCATAAAACTTCATCCTGGATTCCTGTGACAGATGCCAGCCAGTTAACCTCTGAAACAATGCAAAGCCATCAATAATATAAACTCATGAAAAGCTGTGAAACAATAATAGCACGTCCCTGCCCTAGAAAATAGATGAAGTCGTTTCCCTTTAGAAAAGTCTGAAGAAAACATGGTGTGAAAAATGAAAAAACAACTCATCTTTCACATCCGTGCCAACAGCCTGATGGGATTACTAATTTACACTAACTAATTCTACTGGATGAAAGGCCCACCCAGAACTTCTGCCTTCTCAGGTTGTATACTTGCTGGCATCTGTAGCTTCCACATCTGAGACAAGCTTGTCAGGAAACAAAGTTAGTGAACCTGTGGACAAAATGACTGGGACCAATTGACCATCTGTCCAGCGAGATTGCCTTTCTTCTTCCCCTTGTATTTCTTGTCAAACCTCCCGAAATTCTCTGTTGCAGCTTACAAAGGCGGTTGTTTTGGAATCATCGCAGGAGTTTTTACATGCCAAATACATCTCAGCATCCAGAATGTAGCTTTTTATTACTTTTATATAGGCATTCTCAATAAAGTCGGCTGTGGCTTGGGGACACTCAGCCTTTTCTTAAAAAAAGGAAACTTGTATTTTGTTCACTATGTGAGGGGAGAACCATAAAACCCTTAAATCTGTTTTACTCTAATATAAACTGACTTTAAAAATCAAACGCATTTCCTGATAACAACAGTGACTGGGACACGCCAAAGGAGAAGGAAAAGATGGTGTGGAGAAGATAAGACTCAAAATGAAACAATGACACTCTTCCTAAGAGTGGCTCCAAACTCTTCCCGCTGGGCTCAACCTCTCCTCTGAATGGACCACCCCTGTCTGCCCCATCATTCCCATTCTGCGACACCTGCTGCATGTTTGGTATTGTTTTTAAAGGTGACATGACTGTAAGCCTCAAATAATTCTAAGAAATGCAGTTTTATGTGTTCGTGGCTATTAACTCCTTCAGAGCAATTACATGTGATTGCACTCTTAACCTACTCAACATTTTTATATAGACTGTTCCTAACACTTTTACCCATAACATTTTAAAGTTTTCAAATTAATTACTGTAAACTATTCCATGGTATTCCTTTTACTTACACACACAGCTTACTTTGTCATTTTTCCGCACACGACATATAGGGCAGATCTATTAGAATCCCGCAGTCTACTTTCCTTGAGACTTGCACTTTCTCTCACATAGGTTTCATTGTTTGATGTACACTGGTATCTCCAATTTAATAGATGACTTTTATTTTTTAAAACAGGGCTCAGTAAAACTGCTCTAGATTGGGTTGTACTTTCAAAGGGAACCAGAGGTCACCAATGTTTGCTGGCAGTGGACTTCCTAGTATCTAGAAATGATGCCAACAAAAATGACAATATGTGCTTAGCACAATGCCACCCTACTCTGGGAATGTGTGAAGGCCAAAGAGCATTTGAAATACTAATGGGAAAACTGATTAAAGCCAAGAATGTTGCTCATTATGTAAACAGTGCTTCCTGCCGAATTAAAGCAAAGCAAAACAAAACCTTCCCTTTGGCACACAATTTCTTTAACTCCAAAGGTCTAAATTGCTGGAGAGCATAAAATATGTAACTAAAGTTATCATAAATAGTAACTTCTCCCTAAATTCCATTTCTAATTTTACCACGCAAGTCCTAATCTAATATCTGATTTATTAAAAATTAAAATGAACACACCTGTTGATAATCATGTAATTATCTGTAATAAAATATTTAAACAATTATGTTAAAATTTTTCATTTTTGGAAGTGCAGTAGGTTAATTTTTCTACCTCTTGATGTATTTTGAACCAAGACACTCAATTTGCGATTGAAAAATACATTAATGAACACTTACCTGGAAAAGTCCAGTTTTATTGAAGAAAGTAAACTGTGCTCTTTTAACTAATACAGAATAATCTTGACTTAAATTCTTAAGTAAGCTTGGAGGCAAAATTACAGAAGCCAATGGATCCATCTGTCCACTCTCAAAATCCATCTGTCACACAAACAGATATATTGGTGAGTAATCACAATTAAATTGCAATGATACATTTACTTCACATGCTGAGAAAGGCAGGAGAACAACTCTAAGTGTCACCTTGGCTAGGACCAGGGAGGGCTTCCCTTTACCTCTACCTCGGTCACTGCCCTCCTGCAGAACCCCTGAGACAAAGGCGTAGATCTTATTGAGGTTTGCAAACGTGGCAAAACAGGAAATGCACTGCATTTAACTAAGGCAAATGAGAAATCTACAAATCAGTTAATATTTTCAAGTATAAGGCTTCGATTTACCCTTAATGGATTTTGAGCTTTCCCCAAAACCCACAGTGAAAAATAATTACCAAAAAATGGCTGGAGTTAATTTATTTGATTGCTGAGAATGCATATCTCTACATAGAGGAAGCAGCTGAAGTTTTATGAACACACTTGGATGTCATTTTTCTTGAACCCACAGATCAAGCCAAAGAGTGTTTTCCTGCAAAGGGACTTTGGAATGAGACTGAGGCTGACTGAGTTTTCACTCTTAAAATGTCAAGAAGAATTACTTCAAAGAGCCCCGAGTTGAAAGCAGAATAAAGTTCTTCCTATATCTAGATTTTAAAATATTTTATCTTGGTTTTTCTCCGCAGTTAAGAAGTAGTACACGCTACTTCTTGTGTTCTGCCATGTCAAGGATGATGTTTCAATCATTTAATTTGCTCACGTGGCTAACGCTGTCTAGCACATAGTAGGAACTTGAAAATTATTTACTGAAGTGTCACCTGAACAGGTCAAAGAGGCTCTCCAGCTTTCCTCTGACCCTGCTTTCTTGTCCAGCCTCACCATCACCTGCCTTTCCCAGCCTTCTTTCTACATCATCGGTTCTCAAAGTGCAATCTTCAGACCAGCAGTACCAGCCACACCTGGAAACTTGTTAACACTGAAATTTGGAGATCCACCTTGGACTGATTAGATTACAATTGCTGCAAATGGGATCCCACAATCTGTTTTGACAAGTTCTCCAGGTGTGTGATTATAATACACATCTGGGAGAGCTCCCGGCAAAGAGAATATACCATGCTTCTTCTCAACTGTGTGCCCTCAATAATGTTCTTTCTTCTGACTGAACTTACCCCCAACCCACACTCCCTACAGGGCGGCCTCCACTCATGCTTTAATACTTAGCTCTACTATTACCTCTTGTAGAAAGTAAGCTAGCTTAGCTCTACTATAGCCTCTTGTAGAAAGTAAGCTATCACTTAAGTTCTGAAAACATACCTCCTCTACGTACCCACATACCTTATGGTTACGCTACTGTAAACCTTAGTCAGCGTTTGGATCTGCCTACCACCCCTTAGACCAGTATCTCCTTGAAGAGCAACTAGTAGGTGATCAGAAAGTCTAATTAATCAAAGTTAAAGAAGCCACTAGCTCATTACCTGGAAATATGGTTCATTAATGCTTGGAAGACCGATGCTAAAATTTAAAATTTCACTAGTCCCTGGAGAAAGGGATGATACTCCAAGTGCCAAATTCCGAGTTGTAATATTCACTGGTGATGTGCTATTTAGGTCTATTTTGAAGGCCAATTCATCAATTGTTTTTAAAGCTCTAAAGAAATGACAAGTAATGCCACCATTAAGCAACACATTTTAGGTACTGACACACACACATGATTTGCTACAAGACAAGATACAAACCAAAAAAAAATTCTGTTCAAATTGTCTGATCTTAACATGAATACTCACGAAATTACACCAAACCATAAAAATAGCAATTAAGCAGTTAATACATAGAATCACAGTGATAAATGCATTCTCAAGAGAAATCTATGTTTTAAGGAAAATCAACAATTAAATCTTAGTCTTTCTTTATTCATATGAAAAATACCCTTCCAACTTCATAACTGAGTAAGAATCAAATATAATAATGTGGTAAAGGTGTTTTAAAACTATAAGACACTGTAAAAATAGTTTATGATTATTATGCAGATAAGGTAAAATATCTATGTCATAATTCATTTTAACAAAAACAAAATTTTCATCAAAGAAATTCGGTTGAAAGGAAGGAAATTGAAAAAGTTAAATATCTTAAGATTAATACATTAAATAACTGGGTACAAACTGAATTGTATAAAAATGGGTACGTTTTCCCCTTGCCCTAGGTATTTTCATTCCAGAAGTACAACAATCACATAGCTATGGCAATTCTATGCCACAGTACATAGGACTGTGACTCACAGTGACTAAGTTATGTCTAAAAGATATGAATTGAATGTTAAGTGTCTCCTTTGCAAACTAAAAAAGTGTCATCAACTAATATTTGTGATAGTTTGCTCATCTTCTGAATTAATCTCAGTTAACATTTTTCAAATGAAAATGAAATACTGATTATGCTATTCTGGGACTATTCAATATCTTGCCAGATGACAATCCTAATCATTTTGTAAATTACGTATCTTAAAAAAAAATAAAGAAAGAAAGAAGTTCATTTTGTGAATGATCTTGAGAAACATCAATGGATCTTCTAGAGATTTAAACTATGAAATAGGAGCAACAAGCATTCACATATGTGACAAGTTATATAACAACACATGCATCCAATAAATTTTACTCCCCAGAAGAAAAAAAAAAAAACTTACTCAGAAGAAGAGTCAAGCAAGTCCCTGTCTGAACTGGTTAAGATATTAGAAAATATATTCATTAAAGTTGAGCCGAGAGTTCTATCAATGTTTTCTTCTTTATTCACAATCCTTTTGACCTGTTCTACAATGTTGGTAATATTGGCCGAACTTAAGATCTGCCCATCACTAGTTGAATTTAAAATCTCATTGGCAACTTCATTTGCTTCCCCTACAAAAAGGCAGAAGAAATAACACACAAAGTTTTACTGGTTTTTGAGCATTTTCAGGACCCAAAACATAGTGTGATATTTGACTTCATAGTTGAAACAGCAAACAAGGCAGGTTTTCTGTGTATAAAGCCTAATCACGATCTCCACAAGGCCAAAGTATTTCTTTACATAAAGAGACTAACTTCCCTCTTTAGTAAGATACCCATTGTGCTTTTAAGCAACTTAAGTAAATAACCAAGGGAGCCAAATAACTAAAGGGAACAATAAGAGGGACCAAAATTCACAAATAGTTCTACTAGAAATGCACCCAGAATCACTAAGTATACATCTGTGGTTAAAACAATAATTGAAAACTATAAAATATTGATACAAATATCAATTTGTATATTATTTTTAAGTCTTCTCTAAAGTTTTCTGTTTTTAATCTCCTTCAGAATGAATATGACAGAAAGGTAGAATGAGGAAAATCAGCATCTTCTAAGTAAGAGAAACGATCATTTGCCTGGCTTTTAATATTACAATAGTATCCAATAGCAGAAGAATATGTCTGAAGAGGATGAAAAGCATGAAGAATGAGGTCATTTCAATTTGTCTTTCAGAACCAAAGAAAAATTGCTCACTTACTTGAACAATTGGAGAGATCAGGAGGCCCCCAGAAGGCGAAAGATTTGTTGACAGGGTCACGGTAGCTATGAAACAAAAAAAGGTATTCTAAATATTTGGTATACATGACACTACAAATGACAAAATTAGTTAATAAAAAGTTTTAGAATTTGCCTTGATATCTAGGTTAAGTTTCACTTGAAAATAAAACTGTAATTCAATGAAATTAAACTCATTAAAAATTCTTATTGGAAAAAAATCAGGTGAATGAATCATGGAAACAAAATACTAGCAAGAGCCTGTAGCCTAACCTCGGATACATCAGATAGCTAACGTTAAAGGCATATTTGGTAACACGGGTCAAGTACTGCTTTAAGAACGTTCTAGATAAACTCTGATGTTCATGTCACATAGCTCTGTAAAGCAGATTATAGTCCACATTTTACGGATAAGGAAAAAGACTAAGATAAGTCAAGGAATTTTCCAAGGTCTCTCAGCAAGAAAGAGGTAGAGCCATATTTCATACTCAAGTCAATAATTCTCTATATCCCCTTGCTGCCTCCTTACCACGTGTCAAACACAGCAGTAGGTTCAAACTATTATGTTTCTACTTGGGCTGTTCCAGTTTCTGAATTCCTCCACCAAGAGAACTCTACATGGGGGTAGGGTAGATGTTGAAGAACTAGATTTGACTTGCAGTTGACCCGTCTGAAGTTTCTGGTCAACATTTAGGGAAAACCCATATCCTGACAGCCTCCATTAGAAGACTGCCCTAACATGGATCCTGTCTTTATTCTCTCTTTTGAGGCCTCTTCACCCTCCAAAAATAGCCACTCCAAATAGCTTAAAAGTCTTAGAATTTCAGAGGCATGTTCAAAGGCTGTGAGCTGGCTTGGTTCATCCATATACCCGGTGCTTTGCTCTTTCCAAATTTCTCCATCTTTGTTTGGGGAAGGCTAAATTAACACGTTGCTTGGAGTAAAAATGCTTTTATTGGTAACCTACCTGCCTCATCTTTACCCCTTGTGGTGGATTTAGGCAGACACAGAGATTCCTGCCCTTTTTTCTAAACAATACACAATGCCTGGGAACCACGATGTAGCATGCCTACGAGCCCTGGGAAGGTAGATGATGTGGAGTTTGCTGGCAAAAGTCAATGAAAGTATTACCATGTCCGTAAGGCAAAAGAGCCCGGCTTCCCTAGACATGTGCGCTTGTACTCCCCAGGTTCCACGTCGTCCCATTTATAGCCTGTAGGATTCTCATTGGCACTACAAAAAGCTATGAGAAAATAAGAACCAACACGAGAAATATTAATCCATTCTTTGAAGTTAGAGGTACAAGATGAGAGCAAAACAACCACGTTGGTAATTATGTATTTATTTAATGTATTACTAAAATATTAGATTTTTTGTGTTCAGAATGTGTAAAATTTTAGAAGTTATAAAAAATAAACATTTAATGCATTTCAGATGCAAAAATTATTACAGCTTACAAAACCATCAAATAAAACCACATAGTTACAAGAGCATAAAGTGTAACATACATTATCATTCTAATGTAAATCACTAGATGAGTAAAATAAAGATTTATTCAAAAAATACACACAACGCAAAATGAAAACAGTCCTGAAAAATTCAAAATGTTAAGTTCCTCACTGATATTTTTTCAAAGGAGTGTCTCCACAGTGTTCTCATTGAATTGTGAGCATATTTTATGGAACAATCTCCAGCTGTTCTTAAAGCATCTTCTACCTGGAGGTGTGCTGGGGGAATGGCAAGAAGACACCTGCGGGCCATCACCACCATCTTACCCACACACCCTCATCCTCAAATCAGCCCACCTGTTGTTTCAGAACTCTCTTGGTCACTGTCATGCCATAAATAATTCATAATGTACAATTTCAAAAATATCAAAATAAAAGTAATATGTCAGCAACAAAATCTTGTATTTCAGGGCTGAAAAGTAGCAAGTTATATTAGACTACCAGGAACCAGTGTTGCAGTCACCAGTTTTTGAACATTCAAATAACTTTTCCATCTATATTCTGAGCCTTGAAATTGTCAGGGTTTGACTCTTTATTTTTTCAATTGGTAAAAACTTTTCTTCACAGATCCACTTGCAGAAAAACAATAGAGTGCAGGATTTAAATTAAGTGGTATAAATTAACATGTCTAAGTATGCAGAGAGAGTTGTTCTGGGATTACTCAGCCTCTGAGGACAGAGAAAGGGTTAGTCCTCTCATTACATATAAACTGCCATCGGTCAAGCTACTTATTTGTGGAGACTCCTATGTGTGAAAGGGTAACATTTTTATCTCCCCACCCCCAAGAAGCTCCAATTGCCATGGGGCAGGCAATTTCCACAGATGCTCAGAAACTGTTGATGATGACAATGATAACTTGCATTCTTCCATCTCTGTCAGTTCTCTGTCAATGTGTATGCTGACACATTAGAGATGGGTGGTTCTCCATAGAAACTAAGATGCCGGATTCTTTATTACACTGTGATTCTGGCCTCAGTCATAACCACGCTTTTTAGAGGCTGAGGGATATACCTGCTGCCCCCACTTCAACCACTTGCATGTGTTTAAGGAAAAGTGTCAGTTTTTTTTCTTTTTTCTTTTGTTTAGATTTTATTGGGGGAGGGGAACAATGTTGGGGAATTGGGGAAGGGGACCAGCCAAGTTGTTCTTCAATCTTCGTTGTGGAGGGCGCCAGTCGCCATCTGGCTTCCGGTTGGCAGCTCGTGGCCTCTTAAGCTTAAGGTGCTGTGCTCAATCTTAGTTGCGGGTGGGCGTAGCCACCATCCCATGCGGGAGTCGAACTAGCAGCCTTGTTGTTAAGAGCGTACACTCTATCCACTGGGCCATCTTGGCGGCAGCTCAGCAGCCTTGTTGTTAAGAGCTCACACTCTATCCACTGGGCCATCTGGGCGGCAGCTCAGCTCAAAGTGCCGAGTTCAGTCTTAGTTGCGGGTGAGCATAGCCCACCATCGAACAGGCAATCTTGTTGTTACTCCAGCTGAGCCATCCTGCTACCTGTTGGCAGCTCAGCGGCAGCTCAGCTTGGGCGTAGCGTCACTGGCCCATGTGGGAATTGAACCAGTGGCCCTGCTCAGAGCTCACGCTCTTAAGCCAACTCTTAACCAACTGAGCCACTGGGCCAGCCCCCAAAGTTTTTTTTGATCGCCACAAATGTACCTAATCATAATATAGTTGTAATCATAGAATAACATTAGAACAATAAGTTTGCTTTTTGTTGTCCAGATTTTTGATCATTTGCTTTTCTAAAATATTCCTACCAAGCCTCCACCATTTATTTAAGTATTTAAGTGCTGGGGAATGTGCTGGGCGCTGGGAAGAGGTGGGGAGTTAAAGACGAGTAAGATGTGTTCTCAAGCCAGAGGAAATTCCTGTTTAAAAGGAATATATATATAACACAAACAGGTCCTGTTAAATACTATGGTCTTCAAATGTCCACAGTGCTCTAGGTATCTGGACAGCAGAAAGTGGGGGCTCAAGGCACTGATACCTATTTATACAGATGACATCAGAAAAGGCCTCATAGAAGGGGTGACTTTGGGCTGTGTTTAAAAGTACATAGGTGAGGAGCAGGTAGATGGTTTGAGTAGAGAAGAGCAGCTTGGGCAAAGACACAGACAGGAGGCACGTTTGGGGAGGTGCATGCAGTTCCACGCGTGTGGTTGGAGCTTAGAATGTAAATGGCATCTAGGGAAGAGTTGAACCTAGATAACTCCCAGTTTTTTGGCCTATTCCAGCGAAGAAGTGTTACCATGCATTAATGGAGACAGATAACATAAGAGAAGGAAATGTTTTATAATAAATTCTTTATAAGATTTACCTCATAGAGTTCCCATATGCACATATACATACTCTCTTTATTCCTAAAGTTGAAGCCAGTTCTGGTCAAGACTATCCTGGCATTTTGCTCAGACTCTTAGTATTATCATAATACACCCCAAAAAGAGATTATAAACTCTCCTCTGCCTCTTTCATTCCCTTAGATTCATAGGTATTGATTTGCTACAATGTCACCATTATGGTGAATTTTATCATCAGAAAAAAAAGCTTTAAATAAGCATACAACATACACAGGATGAATATTTTTGTTGTTGTTTCAATCAAACCTAATAGTTATATAAAACGCATATTATAAAAAAATTAAAGGCACTTACCCAGTTGCTTCACATTCACTGTAGCTAGCCTCAAGCCATCATCCAAGGACTCATTATTTTTTAAGAGCTTCTGCTTAATGATTCTTCCTTCTAAATTGAGATTGTTGGTAACATTGTAAACTAGAAGGGCCCAAATCGCCAACCTAGGAAAACATCGTAGATAGAACTGTTGTTGGGTTGGTTGTTGTTTTTTTTTTGGTAGAAAAATAGAACATTTGGATATGGTAGTCAGAGGGATGATCATAAAGTATTGAGACTAAAAGGTATGCCAAGGCATTCACGAGTTTCTGTTGCTGCATAAATGATAGTATTGCAAATGTCTCAATTTAAATAGATTTTATAGGATATTGCATGTATAACTCTATCAGATTGGATCACATCACCCCATTTCTTTTGAGGAAACTTTTTAGTAAAATTTTACAGCATGCATGCAAGAAAAGGACATACTTATTATTAATTCTACATTGTTTCTTTATAGCCCAAAATAAAGCTTGTTAGAAAAATGAAATTTCAACTAATCTGATTAAACTGATTAGACTTTTGAAATTATTAAAAGTGTTATTGTTTACAAATGTGTTACAATTTCTTGAGAATTGTGATGAATGATTTTCTATCTCCATGAAGCATTTGCAAGTACTTTGCATGGTGAAAAGTTATGAAATAAGTACTCAAAATATACTCAGTGATTGGCCAGCATATTATTGAAGAAGTTTGTAGACTGTCTGACCTTGAATGTCTTTAAGAAGGAAATATCTCTATGGGAAACAGAAATATATCCTGAAAGCCCCATCAAAACTCTAGCTCTACAATTTGAAGTGACATAATTTTCTAATGAACCACAATCACAGCTCTAGTCGATAACAGAAACAAAAATTATTAATTCAACGTTGAGGTGAAGTTAAATGACATTATTTTGTCAGGTAGAGGGGAACATTTCCCCTTATATGTGAAAGCTCTGGGTTTACAACAGAACTTCCTTCTTCAGATTGTGAGGATAAATGAATATGTCTAAGGCATTATATCATCAATATCAGTTACTGTCCACATGCCAAAATCAAAGCAGTAGCATTGCTTTTGAAATAACTATAAAGCTACTCAGTGGAGAGGCATGGCATATTTTTTTTAATGAAATTCTTTGGTTATCAATAAAAATGAAATAGAGTATTAATGTATTTGTGGTGCTGGAAGGAAAAGAAAAAAATAAGTAAAACATTTGCTATTGAAGGTTAGATGAAAATTAAGAATAGCTCTAATTTTCCCCTAAATATCTGTCCTAATCTCAAGGACAAAATGCCCTACTGTCTTCATAATTCATTCTGAAGGGCTATTTACCTCTAAAATGATCTACTGCTTAATGTTCATATGTAAGCCATATTTCAGGATGAGATAAATATATATGTGAATATAATGAACTGTGATAAGTTAATTTTTAACATGGCCTATGACAGAGTTCCCTTGATTAAATTATCATTGGAAGATAAGCTTTGCCATTACTGAGAATTTACAGTTGGAATTGTGACCTTTCACTTCTCTTGAATATTGAGAACATAATTAGCATAATGTATTGCGGATGATACTGAATAACAAATTCAGCAATTCAAGAATGACCATGCATTGTCACAGGTCTTATCTGGATTGTTTCCCTCTCTCATCCTGAAAACTAAAACTATTTATGATTCTACAAAGTCAAGTTCTATCTGTTGTTACCATCAATCATTCTTTATTTGAATAAACCAGTCTCTGTGACTTTGGTTTCCTGTCTGTTTCCAGGCGATAGAGTATGATAGCACTATCTGAAGCCATGGTGTGTGTTGTGTTACAATCTAATTGAAAGGAAACGTTTGGGGAAAAAAGAATGTGTGTGTAAAACTAGTAGACTACGGTTTTAAGAAAAAACTATGAAAGACTATAAAGGTTCATCAAGAGGTTCAGAAAGTAGAAAAAAAGGGGCGGGGGGAGGAGACTATAAGAATACATCTTTAAACAATGTCAAGTGCTCATACCGAAAACAGGAAATGTGTGGATTTTCCTATATATGTACATTGTCTTAGTTCACGCTCCCTATAATTTTCTGTGAAGTTACCCAGTGGTTTGACAGACAGGAAGCTGAAATTCCATAAATGTAAATGTCTTTCCTGTAAGAGTTTCTGAGGTGCTGACATATACGAAAGTTGGCTGATTTTCGTCTTGTCAGGAAGTAGAAGAATCACAGTAAGTGATAAAAAGGGCAATGCTGACTTCCTAAGAGGGTCTACCACTGGTGATCCCCTACATGAGGGCTGCTCCAATCACTATACAGTCTCCAGCAAAGGGATCCTGATTGCTGCTGGGTCCATGATTCAAGGCTCAATAGGACCTATCAGTAAGTGTTGGAGAAGAAATTATTTGGCGAAGTAGAGGAGAAACGTTCTGTCACCATCAAGAATATACAAGTAGTATTAAAACACATTATTCTTTAGATCATAGAGGAAAAGGAACAATGTCAGAAAATAAATGCAACTATTCCTAATCAGATGGCTGAATCCGTCTGTTGTACAGAAATAAGTTTCAAATATAATTGTAAAGACATCTTTTTCTCATGAATAGAAAAAGAAAAAAATAAAATAAAAAAGAAGAAAAATCTTTGGTCAGCACTCATATGGAATTTAATTTTTATCTTCTCATAATATATCACCTGAAAAGAATTATATTCCATCATTATGACTGTAAATCCATAATTTAAATTCAGTCAATTGAAATGAAGCAAGACGTATGCGAACTTAGCTGGTGGCACCTATTACCCATATTATTAGATGCTATCATATATAAATACGTCACTTTTTTAAAAGCTACAACAACTTTATTTTTCTTTGAAGGTCTCTTTGAAATTTCAAATGAGAAGTAAAACGTTATAAATAAACTGGGAATATTAAAACTAATAATTTTCTCAATTTAAATATTCTACTTTTGAATTATTTTCATCCGATATACATTTCTATCCAGTTTGCTATATTACAGTTTTGGCTATAAGAAAAAAGAAATAATCTAAATGTGCAATGTGATTAAAATGTTTCTTTCCTGTCTCACTGCTTTCATTCGTCTACCAGATAGTCAAAACAGAAGGCAAAGGAAAGGGTGTTACACTTTCTGGAGCACTTTTTCCCTGTTACCTTTGGTCATCCGTGATGCTTCTCTTGACTTTAATCTTGTCCTCGCCCATGCTCAGGTGGAAGCTATAAATAAAAATATGTGTATTCATTATCAACCTCATCTGCCACACCATCTCATTACAAAATTTGAGGAGGTATAAGGAAGAGGTAGAATGCACATTCTAAGCCAGTGTTTCCAAATGTATGTTCCGAGGGTCTAGTTCTTTCATATGCATGAGACAACCTGGCTCCCCAGTCAAATAAACTCGGTGACTAACGCCCTTGCTCTCTCTTCAAAATTCACCACACATTTTAGTACACAAAAGCATCTGAGATATTCTGATATGTAGAAACTTACTTCCATTTATTTAATAATGTACTCTTTGAACTCATTTGGCCATTCGACTCCTTTGTGTTATTACATCTCTTGGCTTCACAGAAGATATGCTTAGGGTTCATGAAATACACTTCAGAAAGCCAATTTAAGTATAAAACTGTGAACACGAAGTGCAGAGGGGCATGTGTAGATGATATGATTTGCTAGGGATTTAGTGGTATATTTAAATAGAAGAACAATGAAAGATAATTTTAAAAAGCTAGTTTGCAGTTGGCTGTAGGTATCTTATCTCATCAAATGGGGTACATGCAACCCAGGAGGTGCTCTAGGTGATCCACTGGGGTGTGAGAAGAAACTAACAGAATTTCTATTTATATTTAATTATCCTCTTTTAATTTGGTATACATTATAATATATAATATATTGGTTAAGTAGTACATACTCATACACACATATATGCAATTTATCTAAAATCACAAATGTTTTTTTTGGCAGTATAAGCTAACTTTTAAAAAATGATCAGGATCCAAGATCAAAATATTTTTTTAAACTATTGCTGTAGCATTAAAGCTTTTTTTGCAAAGAAATGACATAATATAGAGTTGAGAAAATTTATGAATATGGTGTGTGTGTGTGTGTGTGTGTCTGTAGTTAGAGAGAGAGAGAGCAGTACTAAATTAGACACTACTTTTTATTTCCCAAATAATTTATTCTGTCATTTACCTGATATTAACCACATAAACAGTGTAGTTCCAATTTTGGAAGGTTGAATTGAGCTGAAAAATACAATGAAAAAGGGTGAGTTTTGGTAATACTTAAAAAAAAAATCTGAATCAAGTTTCTTCCCTCCCAAAAGATAAGTTATTATTGGAATAGAACCCTGGGAAAATCCCTGAGAGCTAGAGGAGTGAAAGAAAGGTAAAGATAACAGCTACTAGATCATTGTACGCCAAGAACTTTACAAATGTTATTCCTTTCACTCTCACAATAACTAATGAGATAGGTATTATCTAGCCCTGCCGTCTTATAAACGAAGAAACTGAGCTTCACAGATATGAAAGAGCTTGCCTGAGGTCACCCAGCTAAGCGGTAGCCGATCCCAGGTCGGAACCCAAGTCTGTCTGTTTGTAAACACTAGACTTCCCTCTCTAGCTCATATTATAATGGGCCTCCAAATTAGCCGTAACACTGGGAATTTAGCTGTAAGAAGGTACATAGGGAAGATTAGCACAATAAACACCTTCCATATTCTCTAGTCAACAGACACCGAGGTGCAGTAAAACATGTTTTTTCTGGTAATTATCCTCTCACAAGAATGTTAGCAATAATAAAAGTTATAAATTAATATAAACCTTTAAAAAAACAAACAAAAATAAGTTCAAGATTATTGAGAACTATGTTTCATTATGGGATTATTTAAGTCTTTATAGGTCTCAACACCAGACTTTTTAATGAAGCAATAGATTATTCTCAATATAAATAACAACCATCCATGATGCATTCATTGTTCAATACAATCACAAAATAGAATTTCCTTACTGACATGAAATTTTCTTATTAATATATCACCTCAAAAGGGTTTTTTAGGTCTTGTTTCATATACACATTTAGCCCTCCTGGCAAGCATTACTAAAACTGAATGGAAATTCTAGGAAACTCTAGCAAAAAGTGTTAAAAATTTAACACTTTAAATATTTTAAAATAATACTTTTTAAATTCTAAATAGTAATAATATGAATCAGAAATACCACTTATACTTTCTATTATGAAGTATCTGCTTTGGTATCTTGTCTATTAAACTGAAAGTGTCCAGTAAAGCTTAGCTTCAGATGAGAACATGCTATGCTGAAAACCATGCATTAACTCAATATAAATGTCAAATTATACCTGTCTAAAGCAGGCTCTCCAGTGAATGCTAATTTTCAAGATTCATAACATTTGAAGTGGTTTATGGGAGAACTAAAATAAAGAATTTTCTCTTTTGAAAGCATTCTGACTTTTAAAAAACAAAAAGAATAATGCTGGAAAGAAAACGGGATCCAAGAAATACTCTTTTGTAAAGCCTGCTCTCCATTTAGAAATGAAACACATCTAGTGTTTAAATGACTTACTAATGTGTCATTCCAAAAGTAAACAGTAGTGTTTTTCTTTGACTTCTATTGGAGAATTTCACTTTTACCCCCAATTTTGTAATAGAGTTGTTACTCACATACTGTTGCTTCCTGTGGTCAATTTGTTTTACAGGGTGTTGCCTTTAAAAATAAAACTGTGTTTCCCTATCATTCTTCAAATGTATAATATGTACATAAAGTACTGTCACCACTACCTCTCAGTGTATGGTTTAACTTTCTTTTGCTACCAAGGACACAGTTATCAGACACCTATAAGAAAACCCATTTTTCTTACTTTAGAATATATACCCAACTGACTTTACTCACAAAACCTCTTTGAACTGTAATAGTATTATGTATAAAAAGTAGTACAGGGCCGGCCGAGTGGCTCAGCTGGTTAAGAGCTCGCTCAAGAGTGTGAGCTCTGAGCAACAGGGTCCCCGGTTTGATTCACGGCCCGAGCTGAGCTGCCGCTGAGCTGCCAACTGGTGGCAGGATGGCTCAGCTAAAAAAAAAAAAAAAAAAGAAAAAGAAAAAAAAAGTAGTACAAAGTCCATAGCATGCTGTAGAGAGGGGAAACAAATTAAAAAAATAGAAACCTGTATAAACCTTTGGGATTGTTGTCAAGAAGAAAATGGGAAAAAAAAATCCATAGGTTGCATTTGTAAAAAAATAAAATATTACAGTTTTTTTTTAATTGGAAATTACCAAAATGTTCATCAATATAATGCAGGTTAAATAAATTATAAACCAAACATCAATCAGCAGAAGACTCGTTAAATAAATAACTTGGCAGCAACATAATGGAATCAGATGCACTGTTAAAAAAAAAAGATTAAAAATGTCTCTATCAGGCCGGCCGAGTGGCGCGTTGGTTAAGAGCTGGCCAGAGGGCCCCGGTTCGGATCCCACATATGAGGGCCAGTGACACTGCCCTCTACAGCTAAGATGCTGAACAACAGCTCAACCTGGAGCTGGGCTGCCATGAGTCACCGGTGATGGCATAGGCTGCAGGCCCTGTGGCAGTGGGTTGCCATGCGCTCCTGTGTGTAGCCAGCAGCCAGCGTGAGCGGCCAGCAGCTGCTGTTAGCAGCCGTCCAGAAGCTGGCGACTGATCTGTCTCACCCGGGAAGAGCACAATGATGGTGCCAACTTGGGCCAGTGAAGCAATGTCCTCCACAACTAGAATGAACAACAAAAGGGACAGCAACTTGTTTGTTCCCCTTCCCCCAATTCCCCAGCGCTGTTCCCATCCCCTAATTCCCCAATAAAATCTTAAAAAAAAAGTCTCTATCTACCAGTGTTGCAAATCTGACAATAATAAGTACAGTGTAGAATGGTGTGTAAATTATGTTACTTTCAGTGTAAAAAAGAGAAAAAAGTAAGAATCTATAATCTTCTATTATATGCACAAAGAAATTCTGGGAAAAAAAAAAAGTGACAGTAATTTCCAATCAGATGGGTTGATCTCCAGGCAGGCAAGCTACAAGGATGGGTGGAAGATTTTCAGAACACAGTAAGGCCTCACTTAAAGGCATCAATAGGTTCTGCGAGTTTAAGCGAAATGATATATTGTATAATGAAACCAATTTTACAACAGACTAACTGATATGAATAAGAGTTAATTTCCTATGGCATCTTATCAATGTTATAACTAAACAACATTGAATGAAACGGTGTTATTCGAGGACCTACTGTATATATTTTAATACTTTTTGGTTTTTGAATCAGTCAATTAAAAAAAGAAATACACTTGCTGAAATTATGGATATAATAGTAAATAAAGATACCTACGAATACACATTTCCATTTGTGTGACACTTTCTTATTTAGACATTAATAGTCTATTAGGTTCAGTTTCTTGTCTTTTTTTTCCAAATGCATCTCTCTTGCTATGCAGAACACCTCACTTATATATCAATTTATACGTTTATCATGAACAGTATCTATGTTTCTGTATGATTTGTGTTTTCAGTTACCCAGACAGTAGGGTATTTTCCAGATTTCCAGAGGTTAATGATTTAAAACCAAAAAAGAAATTTTACAAGTTCACTTACCCATTCTGCCACCTTGCTCTGTACTTTTACCTCAGGATGACGAAGGATGTTTTGAATCACTATGGAAATTCTATAGATAATTCCATCTGTCCATTGGAAATAGGATTTAGCCCATTAATTAAATTTTATAGTCATCTAATTATCAATGTAAATTTACAATCATATAATTTCATACAACTTAAAAGAAACACTGTATATGTAGGTACAGAACATTTCTGAGGTATTTTGACTTAATGCTCATTGACCTTTGCAACTTCTAAGAAACAGTTATCGGTTTACTCTTAGAGATAATTCATTGTTCCTAAATTACTGTCTGCATGTTCTTTGTATTTTTAAATTCTAGACATTTCTGATAGCTATGGTCTGTAGTTACTTTTTGCATGTGCACTTTGTAACAAGAAATTATCTTTTTTGCACATTATAAAGAGTTTGGCATGTGAAAACTTAAGTGAGATGACAGGCAGGCGTTAACTTGAAAAAGAACAGGTATACACATATTTACTGCTCTCAGGCCGATTCTCCCTTTCTTCTCCTCTCCCCAGTAAAGCGCTTACTTCTAAATTATTGGTTTGGATTTCACCAGATTTTTCATCAAAATTCCATAGAAGTAGAGGGGTAAAAAAATGTTTGCAGACAGGATTCTGATTGTACTAGTTTGCTTTAAAAAGAAAACATTATGTCAGAAGATTCTGCTTTTATTCTTTTGGGATAATCTTCAAATATAAATATATATATATATATAAATATATATATCTCACCAACCAGGATTTGCTAAATCTCTCTAGGTGTTTGTTAAAGGGTACCTTACTAAAAGTAGCTAATGAAAAAAAAGACTCTTTTAAAATATGGTAAGTTATATGAAGAAAAAATTTTCTGAACCTCCATTATTGTCAATCATCTTTAGTCAGGCTTATGTTTTGGGTAAGTCTTATGTAAAATATGCACAGAAAATATAAAAATATACATTTAAACAATAATGGGGAATGGATTTAATGAAAATTTTTAGAGAGAAATTACAAAAAAGTATGCCTATGGAAACTCCCAAATCTACCAAAATGCAAATTCTAGTTCAACAACTGGAATGTTTTTCCAGTATATATCAGACTCACGCTTAAAAAAAAAAATTGCCACTCCTGGATGTAAATATAAATATATAAAATTGTTCCAAGTACAGTGAGTTTAATTTATATAGACTAGGTTATTTCAGCTTCTAAAACTCTTCAGGTATTTAATGATCTTTAACTTATGTTTCTTGAAAAAAATATATTCTAAATGAAAAATATTTAGAGAACCATATTTAAAACAAATGATAATAATCCAGACAAAATAACTTTTTACATTATAGATTTCATAATATCAAGTCATGGACATTCTGAATGATAGAGAGGAAATTCAAATTGCAAAGGTCCAAGATTCTACTTTTATTTCAGGATCCTAAAGGTATTCTGTGAATGTTCACGGATGACAGTAGAGTAAATGAAAAGCTACCACTAGATGGAGACCTAAAGCATTTTTGGTAAAAGAGTCTTCTTTCCCTCTCAGCAATATACTGCAGAACACTAGAAATCAGTCTTTTTAATAACTGGCATTTCTGAAATTTTATGGAAGCATAAAATATTTAAGATAGTTTTACATGGTAAATTATTTCCTACCTTTTTTTTCAGTTCACTGTTTTTATAAATAAGAAAGGCACCCAAAATCAGAGGCAGCCTAAATCAATTTATAAATATAGTGTTCTCCTTAGAGTTACAGTGCTTAAAGCAAATAAAATATGTGAATGGACCAAACAACCTAGCAACTTGTGTTACAGATTCTCTTGTGCTGTGTGGGTCATTATCAAGGAGTCTCTCCTCAGAAGTCTTGGAATAAGATATTTATAGACTTAGCCAAAAACTACTCAGTGGAGGCTATTTGTACTTCTTAAAAATTTTTTAATAATGTAGTCAACAAGTAATCATGAGAAATGCCCAAGAGTGAATTGTCAAAGGAAAAAAAATAAAATGTCCACTGAAGAGTTGGTGAAAAGGGGTTTGAATTGCAGCAAAATCATTGGCTTAAGCATTGCCAGTGCAGGAAATGCACAATTAAGACACACTGCAGGCTTTTCCATGGCATCCTTGCAGTCAAGTTGTCTTCTCCTATAAACGTAACAACTCCCAAAGTGTCTCAATAGAAAAGGTAGTCACAAATCTTCCCATGTTCCAGAGACTTCAAAAGATATATGTACTGTCCTAATACTAGCATCCAGGCCAGAAGAATTGATGATAGACATTTTTTGGAAAAAAAAAATTATGTAAGACTATATTCATCCTCCAGTTAGACAACTCTTCCAGCCATGAAGAACTTCCAAGTAGAAGTCATTGCTTGCCATTATAGACGAGGTATTAAAACACAATTCCTATCTGGAAGTCTTCCTTCAATTCATTTTTCCTTTTTGTCGTCCTAACACTCTTTTCAGAGTTGCTGGGAAGATCCAGAAAAAGTACTATTTCATTTACTCTATATTCAAGGCAGTGAAATATAGGTCGGCAAAGGTAAATTTAAAATATATATTTGAAAAGAGAGATGTTAAAATATAAAGCAAATGTTATTTTAGATTCAAGATTATTTCTTTGAACCAGTGGTAGTTATGATATGACAGTGTCATTTGCGAGTGGAGTCCTGATTCTCCTACACACATAATTTCTTTAGGATACCTGGCATAGTACAGCTAGGTTGATTGCTGGAGACACACAAATATCCTGAGAGGGAATTTCTTATTTAAAGTTGTTAAACATAGGTGAGAAACTGGGAGCAATGTTATAAGTTGTACTTATAAGCTAGGTTTTTAGAACAGTAAGGGCTAGTGGAGTTAGTTCCTTACTTGGGTTGCTGACCATATAAAACTTGAACGTTCGGTAGCACTAGAGTGATGCTTCGATAATAGAAAATGGAAATACTGATTAGTTCAAGAGCTTTTCTTGGGCATGTAATGGAAAAGGCACCAAGGTTTATTTGTGGGAATACCTAGATTATCCACAAATTCCTGAAGTATCTGTGAAAAGCAGCTTCAAAGATAAGATTTTTCTCAGTATATCTCATGAGGTATCAGATAAAAGTCCTATTGAAAATAACAAAAAGAACTTGACACAGAAAAAGAGAAACATTTCACAAAAGCTAGGAAAGCCCATTTTATTGATATATTGAAGAAATATGTTTGATTATCAAACAATTTCAATCCCTCTCCCTTCATTACTGATGAAGTTAGTAAAACTCTGAGAGTCCAGAGTTTAAAAAACTGGATAAGGCAGAAAACAGATTTGATAGATGTGTCAATCTTTCTTACAGTGAACAAAATAGATTCTCTAATGTATCATCATAGGCCTGAGAATGTTTACTACATCAGTTTCCCAAAGCATAATAAAAGAAGTGTATCTGAAATCATTGACAGTATGTGAATGATCTTAGTTAGTCCGGGACATGACACTAACTCCCGTTTATTCACAAGGTGAACACGTAGTTCTCTTTTCAAATAATAGAAATTTGACTGCACCAAAGAACAAATGTTATTTAGATTATAGTCTGTCTCTAATACTTGGCTATTCTCCCTTTTAAAAAGATAACGAAAGCTTCAGTCGCTGAGATGTGAGAAAACAGTAGGATATGGGGGAATTCAGGAACATTGTTCTCATATTGATTTTCACTTCTCACTTCTATTTTAAGCAAGTAGGAGTGGTTTTATTTTACAACAGTAATATCAATTTTCCCATGCAAATAAAAATATTTTAGTAAAAGAAACGAGTCAATTTAGAAAAAAACTATTACATAAATAGTAGAGGTGGTTCAAGGATGTGGCTAAAAAATGGTACAATTTGAGTGTACAATTTTGAGAATATTTCTACTACATGATAACTTTTCAACCTTTTAAAATATTTTTAAATGCTAGGATTATATTTTTATCAAGAATCATCTGAATTAGACTTTTTTTCCCTTTAATGTGGTCAAGTCAAACCATTTCAATTGATTCTCACATTTGCTTGCTTTGTTGAAACTCCAATGAAGGTTATGACGCAGAGAGAGATGGACTAAACAAGGCTCTCTTCAAGAATGTCAGAAATGACATGATTCAGTGAATATAGCTCTACTCCACCAAGTCAAGAACTCTGAAGCATCATATAAACGTTCTTGGGCAGTAGAGGATGTGCCAGTCCTGGAGGGAGAATGCCACAGAGGCTCTTTGTATGTTCATACAAAGAGCGAAATACTTAGTTAGAATTATAATATTCCCATCTACTGGCTGGAATCCATGTGAAATATGCACTGGAAACTTCAGCTGCTGTTGCTTTCTTGGGGGTTGCTGGAATTTCTGCTCCATCATAAATCTCCTTGGTGTAACTACCAGAATAACCATAAACACTTCCCTGAATCGATGTCTTTATAACCCTAATGAAATTTATATCTACGTTTCACGTAAAATATTCCATACTTCCAATTTAAATGTTCTTACAGAGGAAGTTGATGTAACCCCCAAAGCCAAAAGCAAAAAATGAACGATGTGGGTTTCTTTTCTCTGGGTTTTGGTCCCTGGTGATACACTACAGATGTCTTGGCCTCATCAGTTAAATGATTGGGGTTGAGAAAATTCCTTTGTTTCCAATATCTCATATTTGAGACTATTACTGTATTTGAGGCAATGGTGTGGTCACCTGATTGGAATTTCTCTTTTTCAGAAGAAATTGAAATCACTTACTCTGAATTACCAAAAGGCTATGTTTTGGTCCATACAGGCAACAGATTCAATAACAACTCAATTCACCTGGCACTTCCCCTGCTCATGTCTTCTCATATACAACTGCTATTATTTGCAAATTACAAATAATATAAATAGAAAAGTGTATGTGAAGAAAAAAGGCAAGAAGTACTGGCAGTTGCTTAAAGTTTTTTCAATCAAAAATTGATTTATGATTTAGTTAACAGACAATCACATTCTAACCAATATTCTTTAACAAATAAAAACAGAGAGCCAAGTGTTACCATATAAATTGACTTAAATGTCACAAATATTTTAACATAAAGTTGGCTTTAGTGAAAAATTAAATAACTAAAATTATTTCATTTTTTGAAATTATAAAATTCTTTAAAAAGTAGTTTTCTCAAGAGAAAAATCTGACAAAATACCCTGAATAATTTTTTCTCTCAGATCTCTAGCATAATGCAAATTAATTCCTTGTAATTAAATGCCTTTCTCATAAAAGTGCCTTTGAAGGAAATTTTAGCTAAAAGTACAGAAGAGTGATACTGGAAATGAACTCATTCCACTGGTCATTAGAATGGGGAACTCAAGAGAATCAAGTGGTTTTATTTATTTTATTAGTCTTGCAAATGCACCGATTGATTCCTCTAACAGAAACTTTGTGGGAACATTAGATAGCTCCCCCCTTAGAACACAATATTTTTGTCATGTCAGACATACTACAAACATAAAAGGTAATAATTTCTTACCATCGCTTTGTTTATCGATTCTGTTAGTAACAGGCAGGTTAGTGGTGACAATGGGTGATGCAGTACTAGGAGAGCTTACAGTAGCTGGTAATAAAGATGAGAAAGATGTAATTTTGCAGGGAGCACATGACAGTTAATATGCACGAGCAATCTATAATTAATTCATGACAATCTATAGCGGAGGAATGGAAACCATTTCTTGCCACTAAATACAATAGACTCTAAGGTTATAATGCATACCATAAAGCAAAGCTTTCTATGGCACATTGAGAAGCAGTGCACATGGACTTCAATACCATAATGCAAGAGTCTGGAGCTGGCGCTAAGGGAACGGAGAAAGCACATTTGGATTCTAGACCCAGGTCTGCTATTAATAGGCTGATGATCACACTGCAAATGACTAAACCTTTCTAGAACTCAGTTTCCTAAGTCTGTAAAAAGAAAAGTTTAGAGAAGGCAGTCGACACAGCTCCTATCAGCTTGAAAATGATCCTAAGCTAAGTCAGTCTTCCTAATACACTGAGAATAGAGAAATAAAATCTCAGAGGAAAAACGTATTTCTCCTTTAGAAGATAAATGTAAAGTAAAACAAAAGAGAATGCAATATATAGATTAAATCAATCATTTACAGATCCCAATACTTTATTAAACTTTGATGAACAAAATGGATTTCATAAGGGGAAGCCTTATGGGGGCAGGAGGCATTTTCAAAGCATTATGTCATACACATGCTTCTGATACTATTACAACTCTCAAAGATTAAACCCTTATGTAAGGCCTCAATATCTTTCTAAGGGATTCTAGAGGAGCTATAAGTAGTAAAATAAGTACACACATAATTTTCCCCTAGTTTATCCTAGAAGCACATATGAATTAAATGTACATTCGGATGTACATTTATTATGGTTATAACCATTAGTTATGTCTCAATTTTTTAAAAAAATCACCTAAATTTAAAACATTTAAGTGATTACATGAAGAATTACCTTCTAATGGCTTTCTAGAAATAATGAATTCTTTGTTTCAAAATGTGCATCCTTAGCTAAAAAATTTTCCACTCCAAAGTAATAAACAATACTTAAGAAAAGGGATTCTTTTTGAAATCTTTATTTTTTTAATTATGAACAATCAGTTACATTTATCTTAATGCAAAAATGCACCAATGAACAGAGAAATGCTTTTTGGCCATTTAGGACATGGGGGTAAAAACAGCTGGGCATCTGGTCCTTTGACCCAAGGAGTCAGTACTATAGGTATGCCAGATTAAAATAAATAAGTAAATAATTAAATAAATACATACAAAAATAAACATATTTTTAAAAAACCTTTAGATCTTGAACTAGGTAAAATTAAGGTTTTTTTTTTCTATTTGATATAATTATTTTTAAACTACACTGAGTTGATGGAAAAAACTATTTAATGATATTATTTTCATTGATAATCTTATCAAGAAAAATGTCTCAGAAAGGAAACAAAGATAGTAATGAATTACACCCCTACTCTCACACTGGAATCACAGAAGAGACCTTCAGTTTCTATTCATTTAGTCTTACTTCCAACCCCTGTCATTTTCATGCTACGTTCCCCCCAGTAAGAGATCCAGCTTTTACAAAAGGTATGATCATGATTCTTAATGTGCTCTATAGAACATGCTACTTCATAAAGAAGTATTTAATAGACTACATGGGTGAAAATGGGTCATGGATAATTAGGAGGAGCAATGGTAAAATTAAAGCAAAATATTTGTATTATTTTAAAACTTATGGGACTTTAATTATGTAGTATTTAACATGCAACTGTTTAGTACATAATACATAATTAGAATACCGACCATAACATAGTAATTACACATTAGAATGATTAATGAAATTACATTAATATTCATTTAGTATAACTATTTTTTTAGTATAACTATTTTTATGTTAATATTTCGGTTATATTGCACATCATATTGCCTCATGGCCTTGTCTTAAGCTTTAGTGAATATTCAACTTAATTTTTCCCCTTGTTTTCTAGACATGAATAATGTTTCAAAATATTGTATGACTGTATTTATACTGGACCTTTGCCAATATTCTTGAGAAAAAATATAGGGAAAAAAATGAAATCAACCCTCGGTTAATAGCATATAATCATTCACATTTAAAAATCTCAGTGCTTGATGGAAATGTGGTCATCCAGTTTGTGAATGCATTCTTTCTCCACACTGTACGTACTGTACACCCACACAAGTAAAACACATCCAGAAATTCTTCTGTTTTGCTGGTTTCTGGCTTCCCAAGAGAAAGTTAAGATAAAAATCAAAACAATGACAACTGCATTATCCAAAATAGCAAGTAGCAAACAGGCAGATTCCAGAGGATGATGCTGGCTCCCTACCTTGGCAGAGGGTCCCCAAGTCCGCGCAGTTGGCTAGTTCCGCTGCTGGGAGTGGGATCAGGTAGGAACCTTGATCAACACAGAGGATTTGACAAGTTTGACTTATGATTTAATATAATGCAGAAAAAAATAATCAAGGATCATATGGTTGGTATAATAGCAGCAGCTCTAGAAGAGCCCACCAGTAATACTCCAACATCAAGTAATTCTCTTAAAAGTCTTTGTGTCAATTTCTGCACATGCAAAATATAGTTATTGAACTATTCCTCAAAATCTTTAACTCAATTTATTGGCCATCCACACATGAAAGGAAAAGTCTGTGTAAGAAATTCAGGGCCTTTGCACATAATAAATTATAGAGCTCAGGTGGAAATTCATACAAACAATATAATATAAACATTAAAGATAAGTTTCAAAGATGAACTTGGATATTAATACTCATAACATGCCTCTATTCAGTTCCTAGGTGCTAGCATATGCTATGTGCAATTCCAGAAATATGTTTCTGTGACTTTAAGTTGGCTTCTGTGTCTTTTTATTCCAAGCTTTAACTGACTCATCCTGAGTAAAAAATAAGTCTTGAGCTGATTTTCTAGTAGGAGTAGTGGGTTTTCTCTGTTGCACTAAGTCTCCCTCTGACAATTCAGACTTCTACGAGCAGGTTGAGGCTGGGGAAGATGGGTTAACTTATCTCAAAGCATACTACACTATGAATAAAGACAGAAGACTAAATACACACACATAAATACATACACTCAATTTTAAAAGGACATTTCTACAATTTTGATTGCATTCTAATGTTTAAACATTTCCCAGACTTCCCTGTGGGACTAAGACACGGAAACCGACAGGTACATCAGCTAAGAAAACACGCCTAGGTAAATGGTGCGCGTCAGCAGGAAGCATCCCAGCTTAACAATATTTTGGGAGTCACGGTTTTTTCATTACTGATGGCCTCCGGCCCCTGGCCCAGGGAAGAAATCATGTTAACTCAGGAAGATCCAACCCTACAGGCAAGTCTAGTATGTTACCTGGCAAGAAGTTCACATTACAGACCATTACATGTTGGTGCAATAAAAATTTACTGACTGTTTGTATGAGGCACAGAGGCTGGGATAATACTTGAAGGCAATGTCTCCGCTTTCAGAGAGGCACAAATGGGAGATGGCCTCACAGTTCTCGGAGTGATGAGAGTCCTTAGTAACCCAAAGGAGGACGTGACCAGCAGCTTGGTGCGAAGGCAGGAGAGTGCGATCCATTACAAAGAAGAAATGTGAGGAGCATGAGGGGTCCCTCCAGATGGGTCTTTCTGGCAGACAGAATGACTGAAACACAGACCATGCAAATATCTGGGAACCCAAGTGACATGGCATTACTGGAGTAGAAAATTGTAGAAATATTTGTAGAAAATTGGTAGGAATGATCAGATATGTAGGTAATAGATAGCTTGTGGAGGACATTGAGAATGTAGGCACGGTGAGTGCAGGGGCTGTGTGTCTTTCCAACAATGCTGTACCCCCCACACACAGTAGGCGGGTGCTAAGCTTTACTGCACACGTTACTGAATGCATTGCGAATGACTGCTCACATTTTGAACTCTTTCTTAAAGGAAACGGGAGAAAATGAAGGGAAACGAGGTGAGAAAATTAGATTTAAATTTGCAAACATTTTTGCCGCTCCATAACCAGCTAACAGGGGAGATACAAGAAGCATGAATAATACTAACAATTCAGACGTGGTATCCTGAGCACAACAAGGATGGGCAGAAAGAGATGGATACAAGACATCTGAAAATAGAATACGGAGGGTGCAGTGACATTGGAGAACAAGCAAAGAAAGAGAAACATAGAAGCCTTTTTTCCTGGTTTCCAACTTGACAAATTGGTACATAATGATCTCATAAAAGGAGATAGGAAATACTGGAAGAAGAGCAAACATAGGCGGGGTGGGCTGACCAGTAAGCCTGGTGATGGAGGCTCAGGTATCTGCAAGACATCTGGATACAAGGCAGGTAGACTTGATTTTATAAGAGGTCCAGCCAGAAAATACTCAACAGAAGCTATAGATGTGTCTGAATCACTGGAGGTAGAGTGCAGATTTGAAAAGAGCACAGGATGTAACTCACAGATATTCCTATATTTAAGTATCAGACACTTTATTTTAAAAGACTGTTTGGGGAATATAATCAATAATGTTATAAAGATTTTGTAGGGTATCAGATGGACACTTGTCTTATTAGGGAGATCACTTCATGGAACGTGTAGATTACTGACCACTGCACTGCATACCTGAAGCTGAATAATAATGAATGTCAACTAGAATTATATATATATATATATATATATATATATATATATATACACAGGATGTGGCGTACAGCATAAGGAATAGAGTCAGTGGAACTGTAACAGCTATATACAATGTCAGAGGGGTAGCAGATTAGGGAAGGGAGGTTATCACTTTGTGAGGAGTATAAATGTCTATTATATTGTTTTGCATACCTGAAACTAATAAAAAAATTTTAAATAAATAAAGAGAGCTATAGATTTGAGAAGGTAAAAACAGCTCCTGTAGAAGGTGGTTGTAAGTGACGAATTCAAGTGAAGAAAATTTCATGGAGGGTGTGGCAACATGAAGTGTACCAGGAAACTCAAGAATGATAAAGGCTGAGAAGACCTTTAACTTTGCTTTGGAATTTTGGTAGTAGCTCTCCAGAAAGTAGTTTCAGGAGCGTGGGAATGATGAACTCTGGGCTGCCAACATTTGCTTGAGGGGAGGAATGCAACAAGAGGAAGCTTAGCTATGAAAGGAAGTAGAGACTGGGAGGGGGAGTTTTAAAGATTCAAAACTTAGACAAGTGTACTGTGGAAAAAGCATCTGAGGAAGCAGTAGTTGAGGCCAGCTTCAGAAGGAGCTGAGGCAGAATTTTATCTTGAAAGCCTTCTGCCCACTACTCTTTCCCATCACACTTAACTTATGCCCCCTTCTTGCAGGATCTTATGTCTCCTTGAGGCACTCTGTTTTAGTAAAGAACTTCTAAAAACTAAAACGCCTTTAAAACTCAAAATGAGTGAGGAAATCTCAGCCCCTGGAACATGCAAGAGAGTAGACCCTTGGATGGAGTTCCTGTGCTTCTCAAGTTACACACAATGTTGGCAGTGAAAGGATCCTTAGGCCACTTCTGGCACTGATACAGTATCTCTGGAAGACAAAGGGAGATAAGGGGACATTGTGGGAAAGAAGTCTGAAGGCTGGTTACATTGCCACTGTAGTATATTAAGGAGCTGAGAGGTGGGAATAAGGAAAGAAAATCAGAAGAGTTATGATTTACAGTAAGATATCTGACAATTGTCTTTAATATTTTATCAGTATCATTGTATGGTAACAAGTATAAATTTCAATATGCGACATCCTTTGTCATGGGAAATTGTAACATTTACTTCTAAATATTAGTTATCAGTTGTTCCTTCTTGTGCACTTTAAGTTTAGCAAAGTGACACTGCTTTATAAATACTCAATAAAAACTATTTTATGATTAATATAGTAACAGAACTTAAATTTGATGATTGTTTTGTTCAAAATGGTGTAAATACAAGTGATGAGCCTTATTAGATATGTTATATTGGTAAATAAAATCTTACATTACAAAGTAATCAAGTTATATAAATACATGAAATATAAAAAGTATACACAAATTTTTATTTCTAACCAGTTCCATGTTCAGCATATATACATAAAAAAAGTCACTACTGCTATCAGTTTTCCTGGGCCAACAGATTTACAAAGGAAAATGTAAGGAAGAAGAGAAATCTCTCTATCCTGGATGATAAAATCTTCATCATCAAGGAGTTGTTTTCAGACTGTGACCTATGTATGTTCACTGATTTTTGTAGCTATCACAAAGGTGTTCAAAGGTATTTACTTAATATTAACTGTAAAATTTAGAGACAAATTTCCTTGAAAAAAATGTAATCACTGAAAATGAGCGGTTGATGAAAAGCTGTAAAGCTGTTACTGTTTCTTCTCTATCTGTCGTTCTTCCAAAATTATGCTACTGAAAGTCATTATTTATTTACATAAGTTGTGGTGAAAAAGACTGATGTGTAGCCAACAACTCATCTTGTACCCTATTTAATGATAATCCAAATAAGAGTAGACAGCAAGCAGCCCTCAGCATGACTTATAATGGGAAAAAAAAATAATTCCTTTCAAGTCCCTCTTTGCAGCTGTACTAAAGTTGAATTTTATAATTTTCCATAAATAAATATATTTAAAACAAAATTATTTCTGAAAGCCATTAATGCTCATAAAGATTTTAAGCATCTCCAAATAATAAAGTCCTTTGTAAAGTTAAAGTGATTTTATCTTTATTCTATTAAAAATAATTTAGTAGTCTAAAAGTGCTACACTGAATAATTTGCTAGGGATGAAAGGAAGAAGCCAATAGTGAAGCAAGGGTTTTATAGCTCTGAAGGGCAGAACTAGAATAACTGAAAATGAAAAGGTAGGAATCCGAGAGGTGATGAAGCCTCAGTAATTAAGTACAAAGTTTTGGAAATGAAAAGAACGAAATGAAATGATTTGTTTGGCACAAATCCAAACATTTCTAGAAAAGAATAACAACGAAGTTGGGTACTTATTAACTGTGTCTTATCTTTACAACCACAGGGGCCAATAAATGGGAGTGCTTAATAAATGCTTGTTAAAGAATGTAATTTGTTTGAACTTAGACTATTCATTGAGTTCTACTGTACCACTCCTCAGGAAAGAGCGGTCGGCAGTCAGATAAATAAAACTGGTACAGAAGGCACTGTCTGTTCTTTGTGAAAACGGATGGACATTAGCCAGTATCTAAACTTGAATCATAACACAGGCAAGTACTTACACCTATAATTAAAGAGTTGGCTAGGGAAATTGTCTATCCATGGAGGTTATACAGCTGAGGATGTTCAATAAAATGGTCCTAAGAAAAAGAATGATGCTATAAAATAAAAAGAATCGTTGCTAAATAAAGCATTTCTTTCTGAAAAGGACTAACAATATTAACCATGTTTTTTTTTTGTTTTTTTTAATCCTGATAAAAATTTCTTAATTAAGGTCTATTCCCCAAGTCTACTTAGAACAATTTGGGAAAACAAAAAAAGTCCAATTCTGAAGCTATTGAAACATTTACTGGTTTTATTAAGTCTGGGATATTGCAAATTTGAAACAAGCAGCAGGATATTTAAATGCAGTCAGTTCTGTTCTACTGTCTTATTTTCAAATGAAAATTTACTTAGCAATAGACCTTCGGAAAACCTATTCATTTGCTATCACAAGTAGGTTCTGAAATAAAAGCTCATGGTTTACAGACATTGTGAGGCCAATGGACTGTCGGGCATGACATTCTATTTTCCCATTGGTTACTGTACTGATCATTACTTTTTGGAAATTACTAGTACCATAAACAGCAAGCCACAACATTCTGGGGGAAAAAAAAGATTAAAACGTTAATAGAGCATTATTATTTTTTCATTTAGTGAAGTTTGGTTAGCTAACAAGCTTAGATATAATCTGGGTTACAGGTATTTCCTGTCAGTTAATAAGTGACTTAGTTCTTCTACTCCCAAAGCTGGTGATGAAGCAGCAGGAAACTCCCTCTCCTCCTCCTGTTGTGACTCCTGAAACACAGGATATCTGAATCCACGGAATGTGGGGGTTTAGTGTCATCATGGAATGTCAAGAAGACCATTATAAAAAAGAAAGGAATTCAAGTACATTCACTGGGTAAGCTCGCGCTGCTCCTTCGAATGAAATCATTTTGAAAACTTATAGATGACTGAACTACATAAGCATGTATCTGGTGCATTCTGGTAATCTTAAAGCTTGGGAAAGGAGTTTGAAAGACTGCTCAAGACACTACAGAAACTCACGGGTATGGCTGTGTCCCAATAAGACTTTATTCACAAAAACATATGGTCTGCCACAGGGATTTGTCAATCCCTGGTCTACAGGGTTTCTTAGAGAAGTTTAGGAACTCTTGTACACTATATTCCTCACATTTTATTATATTGCAGAAAAGAAACCTTATTGATTTTGTTTAAAACAAATACCATGTTAACACCCTGAAAAAGGCAGTGTTTTCCCATGGAAGGCACTCTGACCAGAAGAGACAGCTCCTGGACCTTCACACTTTTTATCTGGGTAAGAATAGCTCACCTGATCTAATACTAGGTCCCATTTTCTAGTCCTGCTTATTCTGAAGGATAATCTAATTTACACTGGGTGAGAGAGCATGGCCCTAAAACCAGACTTTCTGGGTTAAATTCCTGGCTTCGCCACTGAGTAATTGACATTGGTTAAATTCCTTTATCTCTTTGTGCCTCAGATTTCTCATCTGCAAAATAAGGTTAATAATAAAACCCACATCAAGGGATCTATGTTGTAGGCAATGAGTTAACATGTGTGAAATGCTTAAAACAGTACCTAGTATATAATATGTATTCAATTTCAGTATAAATTAATATTAGCAATTATTAATATCCCTAACCAAATTCTTTTTGGTGTTGTTGTTTTGGTTTCCATAGTCCTCAAATATTGCCCCACCAGAAGACAAATGTTAAATGGCCTATATTATGGTTTTTTACTGATGACCAAGGCTATGGTGAAAACAGGCCCCTCAAATACAGATCGTCGCCCTGGATGTAGGAAGCGCATCACTGCCCTCTGCCCCTGTTCACCACCCCACACCAAACATATACACTTGATCTTCTCAAATTTCCTTGCTGAGTGAAAGAATTCTCAGGAGTCCCCGAAGGTTCTCTGTGGCTAATCGTACTGACAGGAGCTGGGGAAAACCATTCGCCCTTACAAAGTTCCGCAGTCGCCTTCTGCAACAAGGTCGTGGTTTACCCTCTTTCCAACAACCCACAAGGAAATACCTCTCAAATGACATCACTTAATAGCCTCCCAACATCTGCCGGAGCGCCATGACCACATGGAGAGATGGGTTACCCACACAGAGGGGTAGGTGACAGGAGTTCCCCAGGCAGGAAGGGCAAACACAGGTCGCAGAAACTGGGGAGGTGGCCTCAGGTCTTCACAATGGTTCCTACTTTGTTCAGTGTTGGAAACGAATTTTTGATAGAATTCCCTCCATAGTCACATACAAATTACTTTTTAACATTAGGCCCCTTCTTCCCTCCATTAATGAGTTATCCCTGTGACTAAAAAACATACATTGTCAACACCTTAGATTTAGTCATATAACATTTAAAAGTGATAATGAAACTTCCACTTTTTGTATTTGATCAGTCCATAGTAAAATAAGGTCTTTCAAAATTAACTTATGTACATAGAGAACGTTTGATTGTAGTCTATTTCAATAATTTTGTTACATAGAATTAGTTCCCTAAGTATTTTGCATTTAGCTACTTCCAATAATACCCCATTTAAAGTTTCTCAAAGACCAACCAAAAAGAGAAGAGTTTTTGAAACAAAGGACAAATGTTCATTTTAAAACAAATAGAAACAAAAAGTCCAAAGAAAATAGTGATAATTCCTGATTATCAAAGATTTTCCTTAAATGGACAGTTTTGATATTTAATACTGAGTTAAATACTACTCTTTTAGGTGATAGTTGTTTATTTAAATAATGTCATGGAAATTTCATTCCAGGATGATAACAATCAACTTTTTACTGTATCCTCTTTGTGATTAAAAAGAATAACTTATTAATTTCTTTTGTTCCGTTCTGCTGTTAGCATTTCTATCTGAGACATAATTATAACTGCTGTTATCTTAGTGATAAACTGTGATGCTTTATGACATAAAGAAAACTTAGAAGTGGTAGGCCCAAAAGCTTTGATTGAAAAAACATGGCTTGTAATCAAATGTATACTACGAATGGCTGAGTAGGTAACATTTTAAAAATTAAAAGAACTCATTAATGACAACATACACACATACATGTGTGTATTTATCATACACATGTTAGTATAATTATATATGTATGCATATATGTAATTATACATACATATATGTGTGTATAATTTCTTGTTGAAAAACATTCATAGAACCATGCTTAAAGAAATAGCTGCTATGCCACAGACTTACCGCAGCTTAGGTTGCTTTCAGCTTTGAGAGCTAGGGCAGGGATAGTCCAAAAGTCATTTTGCCAGTCGACCACATTCCCTTTCACATTACAGCTGAGGTTGGAGAGGGTTTTGGAATTCATGGTAAAATTCCAAAGTCGAAAGTTATAAATGTCCCCTTTTAGAGAGGCAATTTCATTTTGATTGGAGCCCAACAACAATTTCCCATTCCCAGAAATAACTTTGCTAATGGTAGAATTGCATGGAACTGCTTCATAGTTTCTTTTGAAATGTACACCAACAGAGCCCAAAGAATTATTCCAAACGATGCAGAGCTGCTCAAAGCTTTCTGTGAAAATGTCTTCTTTATCCTTTACAGGTAATGCACTGTTGAGTAAGCACTGTGAGCCAGAAATAGATAGAAAGTAGCCGTTCCTGGCCTTCCCAAAACTGAGTAATTGTGGGAAGGATGCATTTGAGTAGGAGAAAGCTGTCCATTCACTGTCTTCCTTGCCAATTTTGGTTGCTTCAAAACAGAGTGTGAAAGCGCTGAGCTCTGGAACAGAGACACTTTTTGCAACAGATACCTGGTAAACATCTAGCGGCTGGGGTAAAATGACCTTTTGATTCCGTAAGGACACAGCAACTAGAACAAAACATAGTAATAGATAAAACATGTTAACTTTAGATATGGACCAATGAGGTGCAAAAAGTCTGATATACCCAACCCCTCCACCACTATACTCATTCATTTGTGCCCCATCACTCCCCTCTTCCACGGTCCTTCTACCCTCTATCACCAACCCATTACCTTAAACCAATAATGGTAATAGCAATCAAAAACCCCACCCATTTGAACGCTAATCATGGTTGGATCTCACACCTAAACCTCTGAGTTACAGCCAGCCAAGTTAACAAGTATTTTTCTTAATCTCTGAACTGGAAAAAAAGAAAACCAAAAAAAAACATAATTAAAAAACTACCAGTTTCAGGAAAGCTCTATTTATACTTCAGGTTTTCAAAAATATGTTCCTTTTCAAATAATTTGTAAAGGTAATAGCTAATCATTCTATTTTTCCTTAACAATTGCCTTTCACTCTACCCAAGCACCCCAGTGGTACCCTCTCCCCTTCAGACACCTCATATCCTACTCATATTCTAGTTTGTGAGGGAACAGTGGTTGAAAAGGCAGATGATGGAGCTGTGTGACCTTGGACATGTTATTCACCTTGCTCTGCCCTAGTCTCTTCATCTGCAACATGGAGACAATGGCATGTATTCCACAGGTGGTTGACAGGAATTAAATAGGTTAATACTGGCACGACACTATAGCAGTGCCTGTGCCATAGTCCATATATAGCTAGTATTGATTACTAATATAGATAACTGTTATTATATGCATAGTAAACACAAAATAAAAATACATTAGCCTAGTGATTCTGGAACATATGTGAAATTATTAACACAGTGGATTTGGCCCTATGCTAACAGAATAGACATGAAACATGACGAACTGATTTGACAGAGAAGTAGCTCTCCTCAAAAATACTGTTTAACATTGGTTTCATAGGAATGCTAGTTTGACTATATTTTAATATAGACCAAGGATAGATCTATGGTAAAAATATCATTTAAATATAAATATTCTACTTAAAAATCCATGATGGAATTTAACAGAATCATGGGTTTTATCTACTTTTTAAATATAAAGTAGTTTACAGGTTTATTTACCCAAAAGGATGCTTATGCACTATGAAACCAGTATTCTGTATGCATTGTTAAAATAATAAAGGCTAGAAGGAAATATGTCCATCAACATTTTATTAGTGGTTTTGGCTAGGGATAGATATATAGGTAATTGTAATTTCCTTTTTTTATTTCCAAATTCCCTATAATATCTTATAATTTTAAAAATATTGTTTTAAAAATTAAAGCATGTGTGTTTCAGTTACCTACACATACACCTACTGTCAATTACAAACTAAATAACTGCAACGAAAAAGCACAATGTATAATAATGAGGCAGTCATTTTCATAGTGCCTTTCTGTTTTGTTTCTTTTCTTGACAGATAACATCTACTTAAGAAGCTCAGAAGAAAAAGGCATTTATCTAAATCTCAGTCTTAAAGCTTGAGTTTTCCTTAAGCAAAGACGGGTTTTAGAAAGGATGGAATTATTTAAATATTGTGATATGCCAGAATCTGAGAAATGTATTTGATAAAATTGTATTTTCTTTCCTTCAGTTGGCCATTTTCAAGAGGCTTTCCTCAAGTTATGTTGTCTATTAGCTTAAGTTATAAATGCCTCTTTTTAAATTTTAATTTATGCTAATTGTCTATATTTGTCCTCTAGCATAGTTCCTTAAAAGGGCAACATGCTAAAAGCCTAAAATAAAACGATTCTAAATGGGAATGTTTTAAATGTTGAGTGGAGAGATGTTACAATTACAGATTTTAATTATTAGCTGTGGGATATCCAGTGTCTTCCAAGCAGCCTTTAAATGTTCTGCATATAAACAATATAAAAGAATCCAGCTCTACTGTAACCAGATTTTGGATCTGGTAAATATATATTGCTAATGAGACTACTCAGAGAATATTAACAGCTTCTTGCCCTGCAATTCTCATCCTAATCATTCACATTCACATAAAAGAACCTAACTCTGTCTTCTGGTCCTGTGTTTATTGCAGGACATGTTAAATGAAAGCAGAGGGTTGGCACCGCTGTTGGTTTACATACCTCTGATGTAGCTGGCATTGAACCCTTTCTTCTGGATGCTAAAGTCACTTGAAAAGGACACATGCATCTCATTCGCACTTGAGTTAAATGATAGGCCTTTAGCAGTTGCTCCACAAAATTTAGTCTGGCTCTCTCCATTATCAAGGGATAATGAGTCGTAAATGCAATTGGGAGCCTCTTCGATGTCGAAGTCGTTAAACGTTATCTGAATGATGTAGCCAGTGGGGGCTCGGAGGGTCCACATGCAAGCTTGGCTGTTAGGGTAGTCGTTCGGGTAGCATGGAGAAGTAAAGGACCCAGAAGGGCTGGATAGCACAACCCTGCAGTTGGCACATCCCCACACTGTTGGCAAGACAAAAGAGAGACAGAGAGAAGGGCTGGGGTCAGAGGCATACAACAATCCAAGAATACCACATACTGGGGACAAACAGCAAACATTTTAAAACAGCAATAGGCATGCATGAAAATTAAAAGGAAAATAAAACCATCTCAAGGAAAAAGGAGTACCAATAAAGCAACAAAAAGTAAAAGACACATACAAAATGTTAGAGCAATAATTCTTAAACCGGGGGAGAGGCGGTCATATACTCTGAGAACCTGATGAAAGTTATGGGAACTCTATCCATATACTTAGCACACAATTTTAGGGAATACGTGAGGCCTGAGGAGGCAACAACAGATTTCACAAAGCTTCACCGACCTTGGCGAAGAATCTCTACTCTATAGCGTAACTGAACTGGGTTCATGGGGGTTACAGAACCATAAAGATAGAACTCGATATTACAAACTATGGATACAAAGGAAGAGAAACACTTAGAAAATAAATGTTCAAAGAGAAAGCTACCGATACAAAAAATAAACAAACAGGCTATCTCTGGCAGATAGTATTTTCTTCTAAAATTCAAATAAATAGCATTACCTTGCATTTGTGGGATATTTATAGTTTTGAAAGTACCACCATTTGTTTATTACAGTTGATAATTATATACTTGTGTGATCACCTCATTTATGCATTCATTCAGTAAATATTTACTGAGTGCCTGTTGTATGCCAGACACTATTCTAAATAGTTAGTATATACCAATAAACAGGGACAACGATGTCTCTGTTGAATGATTCTCACACTTCAGTTTTGGACCCAAAGATACACAAACAATAATACAATGGCAGATGGTGATAAGAGGTAGAGAAAAATGTAAGACAATCAATTATTTCCCAATTATTACTTAGCCAGGGCCTGGACACCAGCTGGAACCGGAAGCCAAGGTCTACTGTCTTCCTATGTAGCAATGCTTTTGCAATTAATATTCATGTTACTTTTAAGTAAGTGTATAAATGTTGGCAGTAATCTCATTTAACCAGCATTCCGGATAAAGACAGTGCCATAAAACCAACACATCAATTTTCAAACAATAAATTACTTTTACCATGTTAATGTAAATTGCTCTAAATTTATGGTGTTCCTTTTTTACTAAATTGAGTACAATGAATAGGCAATAATTTTTCTTGAAAATGGTAGTGATTACCCATATTACTTATTCTTCTAATGATGCAATGATATATTCAAGGATGTACATGTTACGCTGCTCGAATTAAGCTTGCTTTTTTCTTTTCCCCATGTCCACCTCGTGCTATGCACTGCTTTGCCTTGCCATCACTGCTCCCCATCCATTCTTTCTCACTTGCCCTCACTCTGCTCCTCCTCCTTAAGTCTCTCACATCTTGTACAGGCCCGGACAGCCAGAGGAAAACCCTTTACGATCATCATATGTTTACTGAATGCCTTCCCTCATATCCATCCCTGGACCACCATGTTCTTCTCCTCGACAGCATTATTCAGAGCAGTTGTGTTACTTCCTTTTGTGAGGCTGTTGCTTATTTTCTGTCTTCTCCCACTAGTCTCTAAGCTCAACAAGCAGCGAGTATGTACTGTCATATTCACTACCTTACTCCTCATCGCATCCCTGACACATGAAAGACCTTTGACAACGTTTGTGAAATTTATGAAAAAAATGAGTAGCCTAAATGAATGCAAAGATGCCTAAACTGAAAATGACTAAGTATGGCATATAAACCTAAGTCAAACAAAATCTAAGTCTAAACCAAGGATAAAGCGTGTATGAGCTCTGGAATATCTCTTTGGATGGGGTTTTGGGGCTCTTTTCTTCAATTATTTCACTGATAGCACGGAATGAAGATGACTGGCCTTTCTGATAAGGTTAGCTTCCTGTTACTGTACCTTAGGATCAGGAGAGAGAA